ATGTTTGTTAGCGTTTGTAACCTAAACAGTTGAACGGATATCCATGAAATTTGGCACGGGTTTAGAGCATAGTCTGGAAGAACACGTAGGCTACTTTTTATCCCGGGAATAGTTACGGTTCCCGTGGGATTCATTAATTTAGTTTTTTAATGTTTACTCGATCATTCTGCAACGGCTCAACATATCTTATTGAAATTTGGCACAGATATAAAACAAAGTCTGGAGTACACATGAGATAAGCTTCATCCCAGAGAAATGTCCGGTTCCCGAGGGATACGTAGCTTTTTGTAATTAATGTAGGTTGTATGTTTTCTAATGCCACGCGGACGAAGTCGCGGGCAACAGCTCGTTGTTAATAAACATGATGTGTTTGCGGACATCTTGCGCCAAGAAGTAGTGTGTTTACGCTTTATTACATTAATATAGAGTAATAGAAAGGATTCAAGAAGCGAGCCTACCATTTCCACAAAAGGCTGGCAACGCATCTGTAGTTCGTCTAGTTTTGCGGATGGCGATGGGTGTCGTTGACCATCTCTGTGTTCCCGTCGTTCGTTTGCCGCCTTTTATAAAAAAAAGATAACATCCATTTTTTGGAAACTATTAAACACCAATTTATATATCTTTTTATAGATATACCTCAAAGGTGTATATTATCGCCCCATCACAGCTTACGTGAAAGTATCAGTCCACTTATGTAACACAAACCAGAGCAAGAATACTCTTTTTTTTCCTATCCAATGTCCGGTACGCATACTTCCTTGATCGTTAGACTGAGATGGAACAATTATATGTACCGACGCCCGCGCATTTCATTTAGATCGTTTTTTACCTTTCATTTCGATTGGAGTTTCTAAATGTATCGTAAGAATGTATTATGAATTAGAATTAAAAAGTTACGTTTCATATACGGATAGCTTTAGCCCGTAACTTTTTCCGCGTCCACGCGTTATCTTGCTAATACTATAATAATACTAATATCATAAATGTGGAAGTTTAGATGGATGGATGTTTGTTAGAGTTTGTAGCCTAAACGGCTGAACAGATTTCAATGAAATTCGGTACAGATGTAGTGGATAGTCTGAAAGAACATATAGGCTACTCACTTTCTTTTAATTCCACGCAGACGAAGTCGTGGGAGACAGTTTATTACATAAATAAATTAGACCATCAACATGCAAACTCGACGAAACTGAAAATAGCTTCCACTTGACGTCTGTCTTCTGCGTGGTCGTGGCATCGCACAAGACAAATCGAAAAAAAAAATAGAATTATATTATAAAACCTACAAACGATAAAAAACCTACTTTAGAATTTATAACACTACTGTTTGGATGTAGAACAAACAGAAATAATTTTAAATGAGTAGTTACAGGGACAGATTTAAAAAGATGAAATAAGTGTGCGTAAAATAGTTATATGAAAGCAGTATTTTGTAACGAATTCGTTACTTCACGTGACCTTGAAATACCTGAGAAAATTGTCAGTTTCAAACAATTTTAGGCATCAATGAATCAATCGAAATCTAAGCAATTTCTTGTTCAGTTTTTTTGTACTGTAGTAACTTTAAAAATGCTACTTCTGTATTAATATACTAGCCGTCGCCCGCAGCTCTGACCGCGCAGAATTATATTAAAACAAAACCGAAAAGTAGCATATATGTTCTTGCACATTATATTCTACTTATGTGCCAAATTTCATCGAGATCCGTTCAACAGTTTAGACTATGAAACTACGAACTCTAACAAAGGTATGTCTAAACTTTCGCATTTACTATTAGTAAGCTAAGGTTACCTGTATATTGAAGTCATTAGTTGTAATCTATACTATCTATACTAATATAATAAAGCGAAAACACACTTCTTTGATGCCTTTATGATGATTTAGGCTATATATTTTCACGCCATTAAACTTAGGGGGCAAATATTTTGGGTAAAAACCTTAAAGTGGAAAAGAGACCATAAGTTGCTATCAACATCAAGAAAGCAAGATTGATAAGGTTTGTCATGTCATGTCATTTTGACATTAGCAATTGAAATTTGACACATGTAAACAATAAAATAAAATTTTCATAATCTCATGCGGATGAAGCCGCACGGAAACAGCTAGTCTTCATAATATAACAAATATACGTTTTATAAATTTGAATATAATAGCACATTGCGTTTTAACTAATGTTGCATCTAAAATAAGTAGATGCAAATCGTAACATTACAAGAAATCAATTACATGACTTCCGTGTAAACATGAGCTAATTTATTTATGAATCTGTTGTAAGTCTTTCATAAAGGCATTATTGAGGCGCGGTTATTACGTATTACGGCATAATTATCGTTTTTTTTATAAAGTTATAATCAAGTTAATAACCACATTATATCGCTGAAATAGCGCAGAAACCTAAAATATCTACAATAAGCAAATAAATCACAACTAGGTTAAACAAGCATAGTAAAGGGTGTTTGTATAGAAGAGGCATTCATACTGGCATAAAAAAATACAAAACATTAAAAACCAAATAAAAAGTACGTATGTAGGCAAGAACTTACAAAGTAGGTACCAATATTGGGTACCTTTAACTTACTTCAAACAGAAAATCAATGAAAATATCCTTAGCAACGCAGCGGCACAAATAACTTTGTATGTGGTCTGGTTGCCATAGCAACGGACAGCGGGATAAAAGCTGAGGCTCGGGCCAACGTAGGTTAAGTGGGTTAGGGAGGCCCGTTATCATACTACAGTAAGAGAATAATCGAACTTAACTAAATAATTGTTTTTTTAAATTGTTAAATTAATAATATAGATTATGGTTAAACAAGTAATGTTAACAAATCTTTCAGTAAACTAGATAATTAGATGATATTTTAAATGTTCATAATTTTAATTGAATTAGTTAATGTAATTTTTACTTTAAGTATATCTATATAAATAAAAAAAAATAGTAATTTTAGCAATAAAAGGGGTAAATACGATGTCAGATTTGTTCGTCATATTTATTATGCAAATATAAGATAAATCTTTAGCAACAAAGTTGCTTATCACAAAGAGTTGCAGTACTTCATAATTACAAAGGCATCGGTCTCATTCGCTCGCTAATGGCGGCAAAAGTGAGAGTCTTCCGCTCACTGTCGCTTTGGCGGACAGATGCAAACTGACGATATATTTGTGGTCACCACATGGTATTCGATTTGTCTATATTCTGTAAATATATAGTTTATAGAATATAGACGAAAATAAGTGCATATGCCTTTAAAATGTCTGAATAATGAAGGAAAATTATTTCATGTGATATTTGATTCCGAACATCTGTAGTCTGTAACTTGGCTAGTTTTAAAGGCAGAGACAATTTAATTTTCATTTATAGTTTTGTTTACTTATACGTCCGAACAGAGGAGCTACCTGGAGATAATAATGATGAGGTCTCAGTCAATCACGCTGGCCTAGTGCAGATCAATTCCTGTTAATTCCCAAATATAATACGAGTACACATGGCTAGTTTAGCCTCCCTAGTAAATTTCGATTAGCGACATCCCTAATAGAATCTTTATAATGTATCAAAATGTATAGACATAAATACGTGACAGGCATGTTATGGTCTGTTCTGTACTTACTCTGGTGGCGCAGCTACCCATAGGTCTAGGCTTCCGATACAAGAGATCCATCAGCCAGTCCTGCTCCAACCTTGCGACCTTCAGTAATCTTATAAATGCGAAAGTTTAGATGGATGGATGTTTGTTAGAGTTTGTAGCCTAAACGACTGAACGGATCTCTATGAAATTTGGCATAGACCTAAATTATAGTCTGGAAGAACACATAGGCTACTCACTTTCGTTTTTTTTAATGCCACAAGGACGGAGTCGCGGGCAAAAGCTAGTTATTATATAAAGTGGCAAATAAACAGTCACCGTAATTTGCTAAAATGCTGAAAAACGTAGTCAACGTGTATAAAAAGAATCTTTATACTTATATTAAATCATTATTCTATCAAAATCTACAATTTTACCTATTTTTTTATAATTACTTATTGGACTAGTAACTTTTATAGTTTACATTTCATCCTTTCCACTCTAATTAAAAAATGTGTAGTTATTTCGATAGTGGAAATCAATGGTTACAGTTATAACTTTTTATTAATTTAAAAGCAATATACATTGTTGTTACTTGTTACCGAGTAATGTAATAATTCAACATGCAATCACATGTCGTTGATGTAGTTCATAACGCAAGCTAATGCAGCAAAATAGATTATGTCTTTACATACGGTATCATGTTTTATTGGCGTTGGCACATTGTCCAATCTAGACGATATTGGCAATTATATTTGATAATTCTAATAATAACAATTACACCGAATGAGTTTTTGGCATGTTTTTGATCTGCTATCTACAATGTAATACTTAACATGATGATAAATATCATCATCATCATAATAGTCACCATCATCATCGTGATCGTTACCACCATCATTATCATCATCGTCATCATTGTCATCGTCGTTATCATTGTCATCGTCGTCATCATTGTCTTCGTCGTCATCATTAACATCATAAATACCAATATTTTTCTTCTTAAAATTCATCTCATCCTAATATTCCTTAGTGAAGAATTTCCAAGAATACTAATGTACTTACAAAACGTACAGAAATCTGAATTATTTAAAACTCTTGGGTCAGTGACCGCTTATCAATACTAAACAATTTGGATAATTCTATCATCCCCCTACTTGACTCAGAAATATAACGAATAAAATTCCACTTTACCAAACCAAATTGTAATATAATTACTATGAGCTTTACCAACACACAATAGATTTTAAATTTCTTCAGCATTGTCTAAGCAAAACAGATGTAGTTTGAAATAATGACTTTGAGTTTTATGCCTCCATGATAAGGTATGATTTCGATTAGCATGTGCAATTATGTTAAGCCTCCGAGAGGCAGTGTCGCGAAACGATCACGTTGCGATATAAAAGGAAGTTTTGTTTAAATTTCTTTATCACACAACATCCAACTGCAACCGCGTCTAGTCCAATCTTCCAACATCTACCAACATGGCCGCACGTTTTTTGGTGAGTACGCATTTATCAATCAATGTTGTAAACCGTTGAAGCGACCTTCAGATAGATTTTTTTCAAATACTTTCAGTGGTTAGTATTTTGAAATTAGAGAGCAAATTGATATTATTGCAGTAACAATATTAAATTGTTGTTCGCTTTACGCTAAAGTGTGTAAAGAAATTTTAAAAAAATAATGTACTCATTAATAGCATATATTTAGTGATAAAAATGTATCAATACGTAAATAAAATTTTATCAACAATAATTAAAATCAATTTAATATTAAAGGTGTAACTTTAACGATTTATTACAAGAATTTTAATTTAAATGTTTTGCTTTAAAAAGTTAACTTTAAAAAAACATTATTCGTTTTTTAAATTTGAAAAACCATTTTGTTTTTTTGCGGGTTTCTTTCCTAAAAAATACTTACAAAAATACACTCTTCTTTCTCATTGTCTCTTTAAAAACTGAAATAACAATGTTTTATACGTATAACGTCAGTGGGAACTCACCGTAACTAAACATAATACCGCAACACGAGAAGCGACTGTCGCGGCATTTTGTCACAAATAACATAAATAAAATGTGATAGCGAGAGGCAAAACACGATTGTATCAAATACTGTTTATTTCTTTTTACATGAAAGTGACTAAGCTGTTACAAAACTATTAATTTGGACACGGTAAATAACTTGTATAAGGGGCAGTGTACAATAGGACGTTATTTTACGTCCATAAAACTTTCCTCAATTAATTGCAAGATGTTAAGTTCTATTGCTTTCATTGCTTTAATATAATATGCTCGTTGGCGAATGTTATTCTGGTTTTAGTTGACAAATTTTGTATATTATGTGCATTGCGAGTGTAATTTTATTATAAAAAAGATTTTAAAAACCAAGCACGCATTAATTACACAATAAGTTAATTAACACGCTCACTGCGTAACAAGCTAATATCGGTCTGACTTAAGCTGGTGCTGACGAAGAAAACTATGTCCGTTTGCTAGTGCAATACTCTCAGGTTCCACAAAGTTAAAGCAATTTAATCTATCCTAGTGCTAACGTGTCTAGAAAGACCTGACACGCACTTGCGGAAATATCATTGGGGGCGTATTTTGGCCAGCCGCCGCACCAGCTGATGAATTATTTACTTGCCGCAGTTAACGTGTTAATAAAGATAATAGATTTTATTAGAATACTTCATTTACCGTGACTTTTCCCTTCGCTAGTTTCACGTTTCACTATGATAACATATCTCATGTAATTAATGTTCGCTGTTTTTTTTTATTACAGTTAGCTCTTGTTTGCGTCGCCGAGCTTGCTTCGATGATCGCAGCGGACGGCCACGGTGGTGGTCACAAGAAGGTGGTGATTCACGTGCCGTTGTTTGTGAAGCATCATCACCACAAGCACACCATCGTTAAGCACGTTCACCACAAGAGCGGTGGTGGCGGTGGTGATGATCATTACGAGGTGCTAGGGTACACGTATGGTGAACCTAAAGCTGCGCCACATTTCGGTGGTGGTAGGTGTATTTAAATCTTATCTTACTAATATTATAAATGCGAAAGTTTTTATGAACGGATGGTAGTCTGTCATTTCTAGCCTAAAAGGTTAAACGGATCTCGATAAAAGGCATAGATGTAGAGTACAATCTGGAAAAACACATAGGTTTTGTTTTTTTTTAAATCCGGGTACGTAATCGTGGGTGAAAGCTCGTTTTCTATAAATTCTTTGTTAGTGTAGTTATAGTTTTTTTACTACTACTAATCTTATTTGAACTATGATTCAAATGATTTGACAAATGATTTAGATATATTTGGAATGATGACAGAAGATATGATGATATAATAAATATAGCTTGATGAATTATAATACTATAATGTATTCTTTGAAACTTTCCAGGTCACGGTTGGGGTGCTGCAGACGAGGGTCACGGGCACGAGGATTCTCCGGTCAGCTTCGATGGCGGGGAGCACGGCAGCTACGGACTTTCAGACGGCGATTCAGGCCACGGATATTAACTTATAAAATACTTAATATCCAAACACAAATAGTATTAAACTTTGGATATATTTCATTATACTATCGTCTTCTAGAACAATCCGAATAGACTATACCGAATACAGTATGGAATGATTGTATGATAAAGTATGTAATCTTCACATGAGTGAATGATAATAGAAATGAATGGAAGTAATACATACTGTCTTAATCCTAAACAAGTAAAAATGATTACTAAACAATTCTATATTAATAAGACTTGTTAGTGGCCGCTTTAATTATTATTAAGAGTTTTGTTCGTGCTCTTTTATTTGGGAGTGTTATGTTTGCATGTTAGACGTGTGTATGTCTGCTTTTGTCTATAAAATAGTTTCGAAATTATTTATATGTTAACAAATTATCTTAATTTGTGATAACAAATGGAAACGTACAAATGTACAAACGTTATTGAGATGGCAAAGAAAATACTTGAATTTTTTCAATGTTAGCTCTATTGTTCCTATAAGTAAGTGTATTTTTTTCCGCTACCAAGATGTATCTAGACATTATAATTTGCAGGCGGATGGTATTCGAGTAGTAGTATTGTAATTATAAATCGGATCGCTATTTTTTCTATTGATCATATTGAGCTAAAAAATCTAACGTAAATTTACTAATGTATTGTTTTTAATACTGAACTATTTGGCATTGTACATTGTACTATATTGTAAGGGAATATAGTTCAATATTGCTTGACCTTTAAACTCTACCTGACTTTAAATTTATCTGTAGAAAGTATCTTTTTGAGAGTTGTAAATCACTTTAATCGAAGTAACTTGTATACATTTTATATTGAAAATTATTATCATTATTTATGTTAACAAGTTTTCGTACAAACCTTTGCTCTACCGATTAGGGAATCTAACTCCTTGTAAATAATTATGTCTATTAAATTTGTTGTATATTATTAGTGTGAAGTTTGATTCCAATAAGAATGGAATAATATTTTTACAATAAAGGTATTGTTATTTTTGTATTTATTTGCGTTTTATTTTATCTTATATTAGTTTGAAATATATGTATGAATGCTGTATAAAATATGCACAGCGATTATTTCATCTTTAGAGCGCGTGCACACCGACGAAACTATCGCACAATTGTTTAGTCTCGCTTTGAGTTTATATAGAGCACTCTAATCGATATTTAGTTGTGCGACTACACAATTGAATTGGCTACGAAACAATCGACAATCGCACAACAGCTGTGCGATAGTTTAGTCAATGGTGTGCGACCGCTCTTATATAAAGTGTGAAAGACACAACAATCAATAACTTATGGAGACTATAGGAGAATAGAGAAGGGATAAGGAGGATTAGCTAAGGCTTTAACTATCTGAAACAAATTACAGAAAGCTTTCGTACAATTCTTAATGTTAACTTATTGAGAAAAACAAATCTCACCAATTTACAAAACCTGGATCTTGCACCTTTACTTATAATATACTAGCTTTAGCCTGCGATTCCGTCCGCGTGGAATAAAAAAAAAACAACATTGAATAGTCTATGCGTTCTTCCAGACTATCCACTACATTAATGCTGAATATCATCGAGATCTGTTCGGCCGTTTAGGCTACAAACTCTAACAAACATCCATCGATCCATCTAAACTATCGCATTTATGATATTAGTAAGATTTTAAAAATAATTGTATTAAATATTACTTCAAAAGTTCACTATAAATCCAGAATTTATTTTATTCTGCTCATATACGATACCACTTGAATTGTCCGTCACCGGTTGTCATGGCAACCGCGCAACTTGTACGACGACATCTTTAACGGCACGTTGCTATAGAAGTTTTCATTGCTATATGCAATGTATGTGACTGGTTTTAATGATTTTTATGAGTAAACTATAAAATAATAGAATAAGGGCCTGTCCCACCAAACTGTAAATTGTCTAATTACAATCGAACGTGTACATTATTAGATGGAAATATCGGATTTTGTTACCTTATCTGACAGTGACGTCATTTTAAGCTATTTGAGCCTCTATCAGCCAGTGGTGAGATAGGCCCTAAATTGAAAAATAATTTATAACGAAATTATATAAAACCTATACATAGATAATCAAATAGTCAGATAGTCTTATTTTTGCAAAATATAATCAATTTCGCTAATTTTCTTTTTATACATGTTGAATAATAATGTGTTCTACTTCCTTCTTGCATATTAAAAAATGTATTTGAATAGTTAAATAAAAATTCCAATCTATTGTTTGTAAAATTCTAATTGTGATAACTGTAACGTTATTTTCCAATTTGATTTCACTTTATTTTAGTAATACATTGCCCGAGGATTATCAAAATAATACTTATAATAATCATTAACTTTGTATCACATTAGTAATGCGAAACTTTGGATGGATGTATGGATGTTACCTACGTAACTTCAGAACGACTGAACGGATCTTTACGAAGTTCGGAAAGATATATTGAAAAGTAAAGTGTCATTCATTTGTCGGGCTTCATACAGCTGGGTATCTTAAACTTAATTTCTGTATAAGGGAATATGAAAAGGTTTATAAAGATAAAGACAACCCTCTGTAATGGGTAACGTGCCTTATGTTAGGATAGGTGTACAACAATGACCCAGAGCTGGTTACACTATACACGTAGCTCCCGTGACTGTGTGTAACTGCGCCCGCGTCTTCGTCCGCGTGGTGTTAATATTTAAAAAAAAAAACAAAAGTAGGGACCATATGTGTTTTTCCAGCTTATCCTAGACATGTATGTCAAATTTCATCGAGATCTATTAAGCAATTTAGGCTACAAACTATAACAAACGTCCATATATCTAATCTATCGCAATTATAATATTAGTATGATGTAATAGCCCCAATCTAAGTAAAAAAGAGTATTTTATAAACTTTACTTATGGTATGTTTATTACTTTATTCTTGTTGCATGTCTCTTGATTGTGATAATGACAATTACTTTAATAAGCAACCGCTCTTCGAGTTCTACCAGCGGTGAGCGAGGAATTTTCTAACTGTAGTCATTATATGATGCAACAGCATAATATCCGCAAGCGACATTGCCCCCTTTCCTTCCGCCGTCATTTGTTTTTTCCTACCTTCGTACATTAAGAATTGAAATCTCCAACTCTCAATCCGCCCTCTAAACAATCAATCTTTAAATCGTTTGTTAGAGATTTTTGTTTACCAGCTTTTGCCGCGACTTCGTCCGCGTGAAATTAAAAAATTATGAATAAAATATAGCCTCAGATAAATTAGCTTTAGAACGGTAACTATATATTTAAGTATAGATAAGAATTACCACGATAGCTTTTTGTTTTCGGTCGTAATAAAATAAGCAAAAAAATATATAATTATGAACTCATTTTCTCATTAGCAGTAGTTGAAATAAATTCAACCGTTGGCCAATAGATGTCTTATTGCTTTTGTTCTCTTTTTGATTATTACGTAGCGGTTACGACGATTTGGTCACAGTTTATTTTGTCCGTTGCGTAACCGAAAATCTAGGGCATATCCAATTGTGTTCGGTTTTATTCTATTCTTTTTTGTATGCAATAAATTACCCATTCGTTGGTTCGCTACGAATACAAGCTACATGACAATGCTTGTCACACGTCTAATGTTTTTCATTGTATTTGCCGTTTTCTATACTCTCTACGATTCACTTTCAATTTCAATTGGTATTGTTGTTGAGTAACAGTTGGTTAATGAAACTTTGTTACAAAAAGATGCGTTATGTGGAAAATGTTGGTGTAAGACTAAACAGGTGGTTGCAGGTAACTAAGTAAAGGTTACAAGGAAAACAGATTATCTGTAACAACTTTTAATGAACAACAAATATAACAATTAAAACTACGTTTTACATTTTGTACTTATTCATTACAGTTACTTTAGTAGCGATAATTAAATACTAGATAATAAACTAAATTAAGTAAAATAATTTATTTTTAGAATAATCCTAATAAATACAATGAGTTTGGTGCAGAAATTCGAAACCTTACACATGAAGTAACAAATTTAAAAATACTTTTAACATTTAAAAAATCCGTTTCTTAATACTAAAACTATTATTAAATAACATAATAAGTAAGGTAACTATTTAATATTCAACAGTTTGGATGCCTCCGGTGTTTAAAGAATGCTGTATACCCGCTTCTCTTGAATAAGTAACTGGTGTATCATCATTGGCTTCTGCAGAAAGCAATGCAGTTCCACTTATATCGTTGCCAACAAAACTTTCAGCATCATCAAAACCTGATATCTGCTCTGTTTGTCCGGCAAACTCAGGAAGAGCATGACCATTGGTGCCTTGTGGAGACAACGAACTCGAGAAATCTTGGCCATCGCTGGAGAAATTTTCTAAGCCGGAAAACGCACTTGGTCCAGGCGCAGCTGCGAACGGATCGTGGTTCAATTGGACAGAACTTTGAAGTGCTAGTCCAGGGTAAGATTCAGCTTGAGGGGCAGCACTTCTCACGAAACCGTATGTACCTGGGTATGTTTGAGGTATTGTGTTCACGGACGTAAAGGCATCTTCGTCACCTTCCTCGCCTTCTTCAGTCACTTCGTAACCATTAGATCCCGAACCTGAGTTACTCTTTATAGATCCTGGCAACGAATCAAACACTTTAACTTGTTTAACTGTATGCACAACTCCATGAACGTGAGGGTTATGAGGTATGTTAACTGGTATCGATGGTGTGAAAGATTTGAAATCATCCTCAAAAGAAACGTGACCTGGGTCGTGACTTATCGATGGTACATTGTGATTATATGATGGTGAATCATGATGTGATGGCCCATGATGACCGTAGTGACTTCCATGACCGCCGCCGTGATGACTGTGATGACCATGGTGACCACTGTGGCCGTGACCGACTTGCTTGTGACCTTTCGACACTGTAGTTGTTTTAAGAGTTGTTTTATGATGATGGTGATTATAATGATGCTGAGGAATATGTGGTTTCGGTTGGTGGTGGTGATGGTGATGATGATGATGTTCTTTCTTCGGCTTGTGATGATGATGGTGGATTGTAATCACCTTTGTATGATGGTCATGGTGAATAAATTCTGGCATGTGAAGTTTGACATGATCACTGCGAAGGAAATAAAAATAATGTTAATATAACACTGTACCTTCATGAGTTGTATACAGTCATTTTCAAAATATAGTTATATCGCGATAGCAATCAAATTAAATTAAAGTCAGTACCAAAATGTATTATTGATTGATACCAAAAAAAAAGTAAATCAATATATTTTTTAAAATTAAATAACAGCTTATAGCAATATATAATTTAATACAAATAATGGAATAAAGCAAAAATTTCGCACTGCCCTAAAAAATTGCAAGCATTGTTTACCCGATATGTATTCTGATAGAACTTACTGGTGTTTTCCTCCATGGCCGCCAGACTCGCCACTGTCAACAAATAGCACAATAAGAACAGCTAAGCACTTGGACAGATCCATTCCTAAAGACGTGCTAACACCTCAATGGTCCGACACTTGCTGCGATCCAATATCAACAGAGGCAGCACAAAACGGCCAAGCCGCCTTCACATTTTGTTTTGCACAACTTATACTTTCATTGCTTCCCGGTTTTTGCTTTTTTATTAGATCACCGACCGCCCGTCGGACATCGCGAGCTAGTGCACAGTGGGCGAACCAAGTCGGATTGAACGGAGAAAAATCGTGAGATGACCATTTATCTAATTTCACTTAAATAAGTCCGTAATGTCAACAAAGAAACAACAATTGATGTTATCAGCGGACCATGCGAAGACATACTTGTGATTACGAAACCTTTAATTTTGAACTTAAACATGCTAGACACAAGGTTGGTTTTCGTCTGTTCGTCTGTACAGATAGATACGTTTTTCGCGTTGCTTGAAATCATTACGTGGTCGTTCCAAAACAACGTATTCGATGAGGGTTGGTGGCGTAACAGCGTTATTACACTATTCAAGACAAGGAGAACAGTTCCGTTTATACGAAAAATGTATAAAGTTTATTAACGACATTAAAATTGCTTAAAGATTTTTTTTTTTAATTTATAGTAACAATAGTATCTAAGATTGAAATCTATCGACTTATGATTAAAGTGAAGTTTGCTTTTAAAATTATACGACAGTTATATTTAAGATGAATCCTGTTAGTTAATTAATGTATCAATAAATGGTCCTATTTTTAACTTAACTTACTTAAAATGGATTGTTAAGAGGAATTCTTTAAATAAACATCATGGAATATAGGTTATTAACCTCGTAACATCAACATGTTTATAGAAAATATTTTATATCTCCATCGGAATGTACGATCCTATAATAAATATCCCGCGGTTGTGAGCGCTCGTAAACAAACCCAAAACAAATCCGACACCGCTATTACTTAATCACCATACAACATCTAGATTTATTACTTACCTTTACATGTATTTTAAACGTCATAAAGTATATTTTTTTATCTATACTATTATAATAAAGCGCAAACACACACTTCTTTGTTGTCTAAGATGTCAGCAATTACAGCATATACACTTACGTCATGCTTTAGGCTATATGTTTTCACGCTATTAAACTTAGGGGGTAAATATTTTGGATAAAAAGCCTAATGTGGGAAAGAGACCATAAGTTGCTGCCAACATTAAGGAAGCAAGGTTGCCATGGCTTGACATCATGTCACGGCATTTTGACATTTGTAATTGTTAATTTGACAAATGTGAACAATAAAATGAAATTTTTATAATTCTATGCGGATGAAGTCGCGTAGTTTAACTATAATCGTAAAACTCACGTCACACTTAGAATACTTAGATAAATCAGGTATTTCAATTTGACATTCACTGGACATTTTTATCATAGTTAGAAAATATCTAATTTGAGGTTTTTAAAGACCACAAATTAGATATTTTCTATGTTTCGTCTAACTGGACCTAATGTCAGTTATCTTACCCTTTCCAACTAACTCTAATAAGGATGGGAAGGGGAATTGAATTTGATATGAAAGGTTGTCTCTTCATTCCCTCCTCTGTTTATCAATCTGTACTAATAGTAATAAAGCGTAAAAACACACCTCTTTGTGGCGTAAAATTTCTGCAATCACAGCATATTTTTGAATAATCCTTTCTTGAATAAAAAATACCGTACACTTACGAAACGGTGTGGGCTAAATATTTTCACGTTATTAAATTTAAGGGGTAAATAAATTGAAAAAAAAAAAACATCCGTTCCAGGATCCTTAAACTACAAGCTGCCAACATTATGGAAGCAAGTATGGTAACGGTAATTTTGACATTTGCAAATGAAAATTTATCAAACGTAGATAATGATTTTTTTCCTAATTCTAAACGGATTAAGCCGCACGGGATTAGCTAGTTAAAGATAGACTCTTTGTGGATTCAACTATGGATGCAGGATATCTTTAGAACTTTCACAATAAGCTATCGCCACAGGAAGCATTTTTCTTGTCTGGTAACCCATGATTTTGTAGCAGTGAAAGTAACGGTATTAGACTAGCCTTTCTAAGCTAAGTATCAATTATTTCTGGTTAATACCAGAAATAATACTACCTACATTAATATGTAGTATGCTTGGAATACATTTTCTTTAAAATCTCCAAAGATAATGATTAAAAGGTTTTGTTTGGTAACAAACGCTTCAAAATTAAATGTTAAGGGCGTTTTCCACCAAATTGTAAATTGTCTAATAACAATGCAACGTGTAAAGTATGTGATGGAAATATCGGATTTTGTTACCTTATACAGTGACGTCATTTTTAAGTTATCTGAGACTCTTAAACTAATGGTGGGACAGTGCCAGTTAGCTCTTCAAAAAAGAAAACGATTGCTTCATAAAAACCCCTATTAAGTTAAAAATAAAATTAAACTGGAATACAATACATTTATTCTAATTATAATGATTACAAGGTTTATTTATTAACGATAAAATGCCAGCCTTAAATATATGAATCATGCAATATTCTTAAAAATTACGAGTTACCATGACTTTAATACATTTAGCGCTCAGCAAGCTTGTTTGTTACCGTAATTTTAAACATAACCATATCTGATATTAAAAAATCAGAAAATGCTTCACTGATTCTTCGTTCATTGAGTCAACCAACGATGCCATAGTCCATTGCTAAATCACCAAGCGCTCGCCAATACTCACTAAGGGTTCAATATCCATTTAAGGAGCACTCGAATGTAATTCTTATTTAAAGTTAACATAAGGTTGATAATCGTAACAAATCATGTGTACAGTTTTTTCGTATTTACTTCAATAATAATTTCATAATACTAATGACAACATTTTTAGCGAAACCTTAATACCTAATAAAACAGATATAAAATAAGTTTTAATAATTTAGAAGATACAAAAATTGACAAATAAATAGAAAAAATACCTAAACATTCTTTGGTATAGAAGAAAACTTGACAATTCTAAGTAATTAACTTGCTATTTTATTTGTACGTTATAATAATACAACTTACTTATTCATATCCTAATTATTTAAATAACTTTAAACAACACAAGTGAGCGATATAACAGTGAGTTTCCACTGCCGAAACACGCGTACATATATCGTTATCTTAGTATTTCCAAGGTTAAGCAACATGTTTCGTACTTAATTTCGGTAGTGGCAACAGTACGTAAAAAATACTATCGCTAAGCATTTATAATAAAAAAGAGTATCGTGAAAAAAGCAAAAAATACTAAAACACTAATAGAGAATTTCAACTGTCTTAATACATGTATATCATTACTGTCATCACTGTTTTGTTCATAAAGAATAAGAGGGATGACGATATTAGTATAATACGAGTATTAAAACAATGGAGACTCGTTCTTATGTCTTCAACATGGCAGTGTCGTCACTTCATATTCTTTGTCAAGAATACTTGAGCTTTGGGTTTCTTGAACACTTCGGGATGTTAATTAAAGATGGCTGACATGTAATCTTAGTTCACCTCCATAAGCTGTAATGAATTAAAAAAAAACATTCATTTGTTGTCTCATAATCTGTATATACTCGTATATCGTATTCTAATATAATAAAGCGTAAACACACATTTTGTGGCGTAGGATGTCAGCAAACACAACATGATTTTGAATAATGATTTCTTTAATAAAAAGCCCTATACCTACGACACGCTTTAGGCTATTTATTTTCATGCTATTAAATTTGAAAAATGTGAACGATAAAATAAAATATTTTATAATTTCATGCGGATGAAGCGATACGGGAACTACTCGTTAATTAATAAAATCCGATTTCGTGCATTTCAATTTTGTACTTCGGGTTATGACTTAGTGAGTGAAGGTTTTTGTCAATGATTCGATTAATATTCTCCCCTTGAGTATTATATTGTAGTTATTCGGGTTTCATTTTAATGAAATGGTGTTTCATACTTACAAATCCCGGTCTATAAGGCAGTCCTCGATGTACATACCGTGGATTAAATGGAATCTTGTGCGGTTTATTCTCTATGTTAATAAAATCATGCACATCGAGTGGTGCATCTGGTAAAAATCCATTTAATGCGAGAGTGCTGAGTGGCTCATTGTGCGACAACGCCGGTTCTGGCTCCGGAGGATCGTAGTGGTGGAAGTGTTCATGCTCTTCAACCGGGAAGGGACCGTGGTCGGGCAGGTTGTGGTGAGTGTGGTGATGATGTACCGTTTTATAAACAGTATGAGTGTGTTTCAATCTATTTGTCTTCACTGGAACGTGTATCACAACCTTCTTACGGCGCCTGAAAAGGGAGAATGTTTTTTTAGAAACATTTTATATAAATATCTACAAGTCAGCAAAATTATTACTTATGGCCGGTTTCCCAGGTACTTTTAACCATTAGTTTTTTGGTTAGATAACTTCATGAAATGCGTTTCCTATCTACTTAACTTGAGTTTTACTCCGTTGAACCTTAGTTCAATTTAACACTAATTAATCACTAAGTAATGAAAAATAAATGGAAAGCTTAGAAACCAAGTGTTAATTTACTATTTTATTATAATTACTATTATTACAAATGCGAGTGTTTAGATGGATGGATGTTTGTTAGAATTTGTAGCCTAAACTGCTGAACTGATTTCGATGAAATTTGGTATAGATGTAAAAAATAGTCTGGAAGAATACTTAGATTACTCACTTTTCTTTTTATTTTAATTTAACGCGGACGGAGTCGCGGGCGAAAGCTAGTTTTCTATAGTTTTTAATAAAGTATGACTACGTAGTGACTTAACGGGACCAGTGGTATCAACTCGCCTTGCGAGTAAACCTACTTAAAAATTATTGTAGCCCTGAGTGCGCAAAATATAACCGCATTCCAATCATCCTAAATTGTTTCTCCCCTTACTGCATGTTCTAGAATAATCGAAGTGTAATTCTATCTAAAAAAAAACAAACATATGCACTTATGAAAAGCGTTTGTTTCCGTCATATTAGCGTAATTTCTTGCCAGCTACGCGCGACTGCGTCTCACGAATACGTTTCCTGTAGTAGGGGCAAGTAATGCTTTGTTTGTTTGAGATACTTTCACGGTTCCGTAAACATTGTAAAACATCGCTATGATAAGTATAGGTCAACAACTTTATGAGGATGGATGAGGTCCAGTAAATTTTAAGTACTTACACAGATTCGCGCGGGCGTTTTATTAACACATGGCCTTGACGTTTTAATTCTTATTTTATTTACCCAGCGCTCAAAATACTGCGCGATATAAAGCGTCGCGTTATAAGCGCTGTCGTATAAACAGATAGTACACGATAAATGCGTTCGTTCTATTTCAACACTTTTTAAACGCACGTTATAAAAGCGCCCGTGCGTATAACGCGTATAACGGCTTAGTCTACACGGGAATTGAAAACTTCAGATTTTTTAATTTTCAACGGATACTTTCTTTTAAATAAGAGTAATAATAGCTCTTGCTATTCTTTATATTATCACCACCTAGTATGATTTAAATATAACTTTGACAGACAACGCAGTACCCGCGTTAGGGTAGGTCGCGGATAGACTGCCTAAGGCGCTAGACAGAAAGGGGTACCACGGGTCTGCGAATTACACAGTCTCACGTAACCCTTTTAACCTTTTTAAAGGCATGATAAAAACGGGGTGTAATAGTACTGAGACAGGTGATTCATTTGTTTGAGTTTCGAACCCATATGTCTTTTGAATATACAAGGTCATTATTTGGAACCACTATCAAGTTGACTAATACTTAATTCTATACATACCCATCAACATTCGCTGCCAACATTGATAAGAAGATGGCGGCAAAAAAAAGCTGAAAAAAAAATACATTTTTTATGTAACGAAAATTGTGAAGAATTTGTACAAAGTAAAACATTTTCAAGAGTATCATTATAACTTAGGATGGGCAAACAAATAGTAAGACAAATTATCTCAATATTAGAGCTTATTTTGAACCTTAACATGTGCTGCGTTAAAGTTATTTATCGCAAAGCAAAGCATATCAACGAAAACGAAATCGCACATTCAAACCCGATTCTGAAAATATTCAATCGACTCAAATATTCGCTTATACTAACAATTGTGAACATTCTAGCTTTTTAAACATTTTTTTAAGATGTATATAATTTTGTATAACCTGGAATTTTTAACATAAAACAACTGAATCAGTACTGAATGAAATCTGTGCGATGGAAACCGCAGTAAAAACTCACCACAGTTCGGCAATCCATGGCGGCAACAATGGAGGCTGAAGCACTTGTACTAGTAGTGATAAAAAGCACTAAGTAAGCGTAACACCTTCACCCTTAGCACCGAACGATTCTACGCACAGACTAACAATGATAGCTAGAGCATGAACCAATACTTATATACCCACATATGATTAGCACGCGATCCAGAATTACAAATCATTCCTCTCTTTCAGGTTGCGAAAAATTGCAATTACCTATCTCTCTCACACACACAGGATGATAATAGGGGTGTTTATTCAGGTCGCAAATCACAGGATGTTTTAATTTAATGCAACACTTCAATAAAATAATGCCTTACATTTGCTATAGGGAGTGATACAATATTTGTAGTCGATGAAATATTTTTTTTTTCATTCTGAAACCAGTTACTGATAGAAACAATTATTTAAGCATCATGGTAGTTGTTACATCTATTATGAATAAATTTGACTGTAATAATTTTGTTAGTAACTTAATAATTACGTATTAAGACAACAAATAAATCTGAAATAAGACTCGTAAAGTTTACCGCAAGACTTGGCTAATCAAAGCTTTTAGAAACCATGGAACAAAGTCATGTATCCATCATTATTCTTTACTCTTCTAACTACATAAATTAAATACAGATTTTAATCTTCACTGATAGCATAAAGAGGACTTTTTTTGTATGTAGATATAACTCAAAACTATGAGGGCGATTTTAAAAATTCTTTCACCGTTAAAAAGGTAATTTATCTGTGAGTAATATAAGAATTATTTTTTAATTTCACACGAATGAAGCTGTAACAGCCATCATTATATCTACAAAAATATTAAAGAATCGCAGAAGTATCGCGTTAAAGTCAAAGCTCATCACTAGATGGAGCCACACACGATCCTGCCCTGCCTTAATAGATCACGTCGTGGCAACGCCATCCGGTCTTCACCCTATTTAATGGAACACTTACCAAGCCTCCCACAGCTAGCTAAGAATCACACGACCTAAACACTAATTGAATATATATCTATACTAATGTTATAAAGAGGTAAGATTTGATTTTTTTGTATATATTGAAATAACTCGGAAACTACTGATCCAATTTCACAAATTCTTTCACCATTTAATACCTACTTTATCAGTGTAGGCTTATCAGTAATATAGGCTTTTTTAAGACGTCGCTAGTAAGAGCTAGTAACTAAGAAAAAAAATAACAAAGTTCTTACCGAACATATTGAGTAGGCATTTGCTGACCAAGCGCGTAATTAACGTAAATTTTCATTCAAGTAATTACTGAAACTCAAAATTCCAATTTACGACATACACTGTGGAATATATTTTAGATGCACATAAATAAAATGTATTTTACTAATATTTTAAGTGTGAAAGTTTAGATGGATGGATGTTTGTTATAGTTTGTAGGTTTATAGTTTTCGATGAAATTTGGTAGATGTAGAGGATAGTCTGGAAGAACACATAGGCTACTCGCTTTTGCTTTTTTTTTAATTCTACACAGACGGAATTGCGGGCGAAAGCTAGTGACACATATCGATCGATTTTATTATCAATAGAACGCAAAATGATATGTAACGTTAAGATAAAATTAGTCTGAACGTATACACAATTTGTGTGAATATTGTAAGAAAACAATGGCGGGAGCTGACTTTCAAAACATAATTGTTATGTGGTTTATTTGCTTTGTTATGCACATGTGCAATGTCATAGAAATCTGATTTTTTATTGCGACATTTCCATTAAAACTGAGGAACAATTTTCTTCCTCCAAACACTTTACCAATGAAATAGAAACATCCAAATTCCTCCAGTTAGAAGACACAAATAAAAGAAAAATCATTAGAAAAAATTGATAATGAGAAAGTTCGTCTTTGAATTTCTTATCATGTTATTGTAAATTTTCCTTTAATGTCTTCATCTCGGTGCGTTACAAGAAGTCTAACTTCCCCGTTATTAACACGTTTAGAAATTAATCGGAAATACAAGTAGTGTTTTGTTTTGTGACAGATTAACTTCCTGTAAAAACAAACGAAGTCGGTAACCGTGCGTTTACACTGATGATATTTACAATATTTCAATATCACTTTTCTTTATGTTGCTATTTGTTTCGGTAGTGATATCCACTGAAGGGATATTTATAAATATTCTTTTTTATGATACGGAAAAATTTCGTTCGTTATACTCACGATTGCCTAATTACCTTATTTAATGCGTGTTTAGTTGCACTTCCGAAAATTACGTATCGATACTTCGTAACCAAACGAACGTATTTTTGCCCCTGTTTGTATTTGTAATTGCTTTTAGTTATGCAATTGAAAAGATTAATTGTATATTAAGAGTGCAAAGTATTGTCAGCTTATTGAGGAGTTTTACTTTTAATGAGGGTTAAAAAACATTTATTTTATACACGGGAGTTCTCAGTAATATTCTTAGTCAATGTTTTAAAACTCGTCTTTTGAAGTGGGCGTAATATAAAAAAAATCTTTAAAAATTACACTTTATTTAAACTTATAATAATAAACATTACAATGTAATCTAAATGAGAAATTCATGCTTTAATATTAATGTACGGCGTTTTCAACTTCGAAAAACTGTGATGTCTTCTGCTCTGTTAATTGCACAAAAAAAATTAAAACAACACAAAATCGCTAAGAAAATATTGTTATATTGTAATAGGTTGGATTTATAAATCAAATTCTACTATTAAAATTCAAATCTAAAATCTTCACACCTGAATATAAAAAATGCTAGAGTTCAAATGAATTAAAACAGCGTAGTGAATCTCGATGAAATTGGACACAGTTAAATATATTAAATTGTTATTTTTTTTATTTCACGGGGATTTAGCAGCCAACATAAACTATAAAATACAATTTAAAAATACCTTAAGTGTCTAATAAAATGAATCTTTATCACTTACAGGGGTACCCTGAAAATGTTTCCATAGACCGTAACGTAGTTCCCAATCCTCGAAGAACAGCGTCGGTTTATTCCACATTATATGCTTATTCTCAACATTGTAGATTTTCGTCAACGGTGGATTTAATTGTGGCGCCTCCTTCGCTCGCCTTGATATTATTTGATTAACGTATCTGTATAGATCTGGCGCCTTATGTACCCAGCATACTAAAGACATAACTGACACAACTATCGCATGCATCCAATATCTACATCTAACTGGTATATCGTCAGCATTTATCGCAAAGTCCTGGATAACCATGACCATACAAGCTGCAGCAGCCGCTGTCAATCCACAAGGCACTTCCAGCACGATACAGCTTATCGCTGTAAATATAGCTTTTAAATTAACAGCACTATAATAGTGCTGTTTGACAGCTTTAAGGAAATAATTGTGCAATTTCTCTCGATGTTGACGTATAAATGCTTTATCTCCGCTGTCGTATACGCCAATCTTTAAATTCACCTAAAACAGTGTATAAATTGTACGTGAAACATAATATTGGAAATCAAGCTATTGCAAACTAAAAAGGCTACAATACAATCAAATACCAGCTGTTGCTTGCGACTTCGCCTGCGTAATATTGAAATAATAATAATAAAAATATAGCCTGTGTATGTTACTCAGTGATAACATAGCTATATAAAGGTGCAAAAAAATTTAAAATCTGTCAAGTAGTTTTTGAGTTATTTCGTTACATATAGAAAATCCAAAATTCGAAACATCTTTCATCTCTATAAATATAGATATAGATTACCTGAGAGAAACTGTAATAAATTGTCGGCACAACGAGATATTGAGCATTACATTGTCGGTCGAGGAATCTCATCAGCAAACGAATACCAACAAGGCTGTGTAAAGTGTTAGGTGAACCTATCAAATTTTTTAATACGTGTTCGAATAGACCTTCACTAAAGCTCTCGCTGTACATTTTGACTTGATACAACTGCGCAGCGTAGTCCAATAATGAGGAAAACTCAAATATATCATCATCACTCATGTTAACAATATAAAACCAGTTCAGCATAGTTGCGATAATAGTCAGTCTATGTCGGTTTTCAGCTCTTTCGAATATTCGTCTGAGACAAACTTCAAAGCCTTTTTTAAGATATCTATAGGCTGGTACTTTATCCTCTCCTTTATCGATACTGTATGCGAAAAAATTCAAAAACCTTACAATGAAAGGAAGCAACTTTTGCTTATCAATTATCCAGTTTTCACTCTGCAGTAGTTCGTAAAGTACTCTCATACGATGTCTAGCTGATACCACATCGGTAAATAAAATGCAATGAATATCAGATAGCATCAGATAGAATAGGGTAGATTTACCACGATTATAGTATAACACAATTTCTAATATTTGCTGAACGAAACTTTCAAAAGGCCATAATGATACTTCGGTAAAGAAATTCAATGTTACTTTAATGGAATCTTCACTGCGTTCTGGTTGCAAACTCGCCATAGCTTTGTGGAACAGTTGCTCGGCACGTATAAACTGTCTTCGACCATACCAGTTCCAGCATCGACCAGTGCGTCTCCTAATTTTCAATCTCATCGCAAAATAGTATACTAAAGTTAAAGAGCAACGTAGTATTTCTTGAAAATTACTATTCTGCAAACTAGATCTTGACGCATGTACCAAAATGTATTTTGTCCTTTTTATAGCTTTTACTTTATGACTTTTAAACAGTGGATTGAGATCCATTGGCATGTAATATTGGCCGAGCTGATTTATTCTCTCTTCTAAGATTAAACCCTCAAGAGTTTTCCGTTTTCTTTTTGAAAACATAGTTTTGACGTATACCATACATTATTAGAACGTCAATTTTGACGCATAGGTAAGAATAGACAATTAAATCCTTAATAAAATTATATGTTTATATCCTGACCAGACATGTAAAAAAATAGACAAATCTACGAGTAAATCCACAGCAAATTCAAAGTGCGCTTTTAAATAGCCTATTTGATTTACTTAAGGCTTAATATGCACAAAATTGCATGTGTTAGAAGAGTCGACGCCCGCTGAATGGGTCAAACATTGTCATCCGGTCCTTGACAACAATTCCCCGCGTTTAGCCTGAATTGATTATGATAGACGGATAGAATCATTCGCACTTAGGGTGCAGAAAAGTTCTCACAGCCACACTGCATATACTACAAGCTTATAATAGCCACCTCATCCGGTCGGTCTAATAAGCTCAACGAGACAAGAAAGAGACCCTATAGAAAGATGACAATACCCTATATATATCAAAAACCAATTGTAATAAATAAAAAGTATGGTAGGTGGAATAAAAAAAAACAAAAATTAGTAGCCTATGTGTTCTTCGAGACCACCCCCTATATCACTGCCACATTTGAACGAGATGCGTTCAGCCGTTTAGGCCTACTCTAACAAACATCCATTCAAACTTTTGCATTTACATTTATCTAAGTAATATTATAAATGCGAAAGTTTAGATGGATGAATCCATGGATGGATGTTTGTTAGAGTTTGTAGCCTAAACGGCTGAACGGGTCTGGATGAAATTTGGCATAGATGTAGAGTATAGTCTGGATGAACCCATAGGCTACTTTCTTTTGTTTCTTTTTTTAATATCACGCGCACGGAGTCGCGAGCGACAGCTAGTTAGTAAATAAAGACGTCACAACTGATTAAGTACAGAATAGAAAAGTTATGTGAATAATTATGTCTTAAGGAGGATAAACTAATTAGTCTCATGTTATTGTGATCGCATTGTACTAAATGACTCCAATCGAATAAAAAGCGTAAGTAAAGAGTCGCCGATGGAGAAAATACGTTCCCATTCATTGAATAGAAGAATCTCGATGATATTACGTTGGAAACAATGAAAGTGCTTGCGCAACGCAAACCTGTACTTCCGATCGAGTGCGCATATTCGTGTGAAGATGTTAGAAATAAAAGCATGTAGACTCAAACATTGTACGTGAAATAATACAGTCTGCCAAAGTAAATATGCGTTTTTAAATGCAGCTCCCAGCGTTTTTGTGTTCTTCATTAGTGATTTAGTATTAGAAATCTACAAGTGAATCCCTTTATACCTTCCGTTTCTTCAATCTCTGAATGCAGAAGGAAAATGTGCGTTTTTTATTGCAGAATGTAAGCAAATTTAAGACTCTTCAATAGTTATAGGAAAAGGTGCATTAATTATTCTTTTATTTATTACCTAAAGCCGCGACTCCGTTCGCGTGAAATTGAAAAAAACAAAAGTGAATAGCCTATGTGTTCTTCCAGACTATCCTTTAAAACTATACCAAATTTCATCGTAATCCGTTCAACCGTTTAGGCTACAAACTCTAACAAACATTCATCCATTCATCTAAACTTTCGCATTTATAATATTAAGTAAGTATTGTAATTCTGACTTTAAACTTCATAGTTTGACGTGACTTCATAATTTACAACCTTCAGCAAACTCTTATTTATTTATAGTCAAAAGTGAATTTGTTTGAACAGCCTTCCCTGGCACTTAAACTATTCGATCTTCGATTTGGTATTAAAATGAAATTGAAAGCACTATTTTGGAATAATTTATTTTGAATACAATCAATTTAACACTATCAGTCTTATAAATAAACGAAACAAATTACAAAATACACTAATTCTAATAACATCAAATTGATGATTTTAAAAGTTGACCTAATTAATAATAAATCACTGTTTTGAAGTAGTTTTTGTCTCACTTGAGGTCATCTGTTGTGGAGGCGGATAAGAGTTTTGGGGATAAGTTTGCGCTAGATATGGTCCGGGGCCAACTTGTTCTTGGAGTTTTTCCGCTTCTTCTGGGGCAACAGGACACATGCAAGGTACTAATTGCACATGCTGGAGCGATACCGGAGTCAAACTGGCCCCGGCTGGTACGCTAATCGGTATAGGGGCCATGCTCTGCTGTACCGATATCTCAGGCTGTTGGTACTGCTGTCCTTGTACTTGGTACACTTTACGGGATTCATACGGGTACGAGTACTGGTATCGGTACTGCACTGGAGTCATGTTCGGTCCGAGCGGTTGTACCCAAGTTTTCTGGGATGACTGTTGTCTGTAACAAACGTACTATCATTACTTACGTCAATATTATGTCCATTAAGGAACATTAATGTTATCTGATTATAACTATAGTTGTTGAAGAGTTAACATTTTGGTAAACATCATTCCCAAGTATTTAATGTTAACTTCCATGTAAGATTACGTCAAATAATCTATATCTATACTATTATAATAAAGCGTAAACACACACTACTTTGTTGCCTAAGATGTCAGCTATTACAACATATTTTTGAATAACTCCTTTCTTAATAAAAAGCCCTACACTTACGTCACGCTTTAGACTATATATTTTCACGCCAATAAACTTAGGGGGTAAATATTTTGGATAAAATCCCTAATGTGAGAAAGAGACCATAAGTTGCTGCCAACATTAAGGAAACAAGATTGCCAAGGTTTGTCATGTCATTTCAGTTTGACATTTGCTATTGATAATTTGACAAATACAAACAATAAATTTATAATTTCATACGTATGAAGCCACACGGGAACTCCTAGTTTAATATATTTCAGGAACTAAACGCAATAGCGGAGATAATGTAACACGTTGTACAACTATTACGGAAATTATTGAAAACATTCTTAAAATGTACATAAAATTATACACAATTCGCTTATAACGTAACACATAAAGAAATCAGACTATCGCAATGCATTGTACATAACATACAAATATATAAATAATGGAAATCCGCGTAATAAATGAGTATATTAAAATCGTATATTTTATACGTACGTAGAATCCGAGCCCCATTTAAGGAAAAAGGCTTCAGTTGACGCAACCAACACCAAACTGAACAGCACGCACATCTGAAAATAATCATACATTTAAACAAAGAAAATGAGTGATTAAGAAGATGATTACGACTGAAAAAACCTGATGAATGAGTAGATCTACTATTTCGGAGATAGAAACCTGGTATGCTATTCCTCATAGAGTTTTAAGACTGTCCTAAGTATTTACATACTTATAAGGAGAAATGCAACTTATTTATTATGAATATAAAGTTGTAAATCGTATAAGAATCCGATAACCGTATAAGCTTTTTTTATTTACTTATTACAATTTAATCTGAAGCGAGTGAAAATCACGTTAGAGTGTTCTGTATTAAAATTTTGTTTTATTTAAACATAAAAAAATTAAAGTAATGGATATATTCGCAATGCAAATAGTTAAATAGACATTCGCAATAACAAAAAACAGGAGAATGCAGGAATGGATAAGTTAGTAAAATAGCTATTATAAGGGGATTTTTATTGAATATTAATTCGATACATATAGAGTTTAAAAATTAAGTAAAATGATCTTAAAAGAATAGAGGTTTGAATTGTTAAGTAACGGTAAAAATCTGTTAAATGAAACTAGTTAAAATTAAGAATAGATTTTTTTACCATTTGGTTGTGTTGTTCATTTTGCTAATTGGTTTTTATTCTTCTATTTTAGGTAAATAAAAATTAATTTATATGTTTGTCTCCAGTTTGTTTCACAGCCATCCAAAACCGATAAGTTAAAGAATCGATGATTTTAGTTTGATATAGTTCTAATAAAAAATGTATTCTCAACATTCAATTCAATTAAATTCATTACCTTAGTAAGATATTCTCTATTGTGGCGTTAATTTATTTTTAATTAAAATACTATTTCAGTTCATTTGAAAAGGTAATGTTTCGCTAGAGACAGTCACATTATAAAAAGCTTTGTGTCGGTCCGTAACAAATCGATTTAATAGCTCATGAATTCTGTAACCCATAGATGAATTCTTACATCCGCGTACTAAAATAATTAATAACATAAACTATAAAAATAATCATTCTAATGTAACCGGAACTTTATTCATTTTAGTTTATTTTTGAACTCAATAAGTAATTAATGTTTATTTATGTACGTAATATTTTCAACTCAGACTTCTACAAATTACTGAAAATTTATTTTAAACGTTCCGTTAATAAATTTTACTTATAGTAAAACTAAAAAGTTATTTAATTATCAAAATATGATTAAGCGTCAATTTCAAATTAAAAAAAAATAAAACTATAAGTGACAATAACTTAAAAAAAAAGGAAATGTTGAAAATGAAACGGAATACTTGAAAACATAAAAAAAGTCAACTGCGAGTCGTAAAGTTATATTTATTTTGATAAGTAATACAATGAATCGATTTGATTCGATATATCGCAGCTGTCATAATAAGAGCGCCGTATGTAGAGGTAGGTCCTGTGCATGTGACTTGCAAGATTGAGTCACTACCGACGGCCCCTTTGTGCTTCGCCGTCAATAGAAATTGAAAGATTCAATGGACAATTAACGAAAGGCAAACATTGCCACAATGGTCTTTGAATATATTACCATTACGTGGGAAAATAAAGCCTGATAATTTGAACACACATATTATTTAATAAGTTTTAATTTGTAAAAAAAATGCTATGTTTAATTAATAACGAAATCATTAATCTTTCAAAAAATAGATAAAAAGTCAATTATTTTTTAAGTAAGTAAACCAAGTAAATATTTCAATTAAAAAGTACCTCAGAGTGTTAGCAGAAATATACTTCAAATACTTGCATTATACACATAAATTAAAATATTATAACTAATAATGCTGTCGCCGAAATGTTCAAAATAGTGTTTACTCACCGTTCGATTTCTACACGACAGCATCTCACTTGCTATAAACTTTAACGATTAGATATCACGTTGTTGTTTCCTACAGAGCCTTTGGTAATCTGAGGGAGGAATAAGGCTTCCACACAAAACGTTCAGAGAAGACGCGCTCACCCACTCTGGCCGCTGAATGACCGCTCCCGGGGGAGCCTTCGTTTTTTATACACGCTTTAAGAAACATTCCGTCCCTAAAAGCCGGTCTACGACCCCAGCATGAACTTATAATAATCTTATTAACTTATCTACACTCCATCTTTACTTAGAAGTTACTGTTATATTAAACTTTAAAGGGGGAGTTTCGTAGACACTGGCCACTTAAGGTAATTTCACACTTTTTATCGTTACCTAAGTGTTTAGGCAGTTTTTGTAGCAGAGGCTGTTGCTGAGCAGACTTAATGAAGGTAGGATGTATCGGACAGTCGGATCGAATCGGTATATTTCTATTAAAACTTCCGAACAGGATCCATGACTCGACATGCTTCCCAGTGCGTAAAATCCTAAACAGAACTAAGTGAACATTTACAATAGATATTCGAAAAGCTGATACGGAACCATGACGGGATAATTACCGGTGATTGATATCGAAGGTACGGCCTTTCTTATAAAATTTGACTGAAATTAAGGTAATCGTTGCAAGACGACTTTGAGCATGAGAAACCATTGCCGGAGAACAAAATGATTTTTCATTATGCTATGAACCATCCTTAAATATATTCTTTCATCAAATTAGTTCACAGGACATGAAAGTGAAAAATATAAAATCATTATGAAAGTATATGTTTACCTACGTGATTAAAAATTTCTACTTATTCAGTTTGTCTTGTTGTGGAAAATTACTTATTTTTTATGACTTAGTATAAATCTTTGGGCGGCCATAGACGAACTTCTAGGCTGCAGTTGGTTCCTACGGCCGGCCGAATTTTCGCAGCGATATACGATAGACTGTAGTCTGTGGTGTTCTCCGAACTTGGATCGCTTGGACCTTTTGGTGTAGACAGCATTAATCAGTCCGTGTATTCCAACCTTTAGATACTGGATTACCGTAGCTTGATATAAGGTTCCAATATCGTTAGTCATCTTAAATAGTTGTTGGTGACACGTTTGTGTATAATCTTCTAGTGATTTATCAAGATTGTATTCCACGGAGCCCTGTTAGTGTAACGTATATCTGCTGAGGAATTCTGACAGAAGACATTTATATTAAGCTGAGATATTATTTTGATCAAAAGTAGTTTTTAATTAATTTCATTTAAGGGTCAATTTGAATTTGAATAAAACAAATATCTATTTACATATAACAGAACATTTCGTATAATCCAACGGTATACCCGCCTATCAATGAACGGTTCTCGCAGATAAGAAACGGAGGAACATTAAACACCGATTGCTACTATCAAATGTAATGGATGAGATGGTCCGCCCGAATACACCGAAAGAATGCACCCATTAGAGCGGGCACCGTAACCCATCGCTTATAGAGGCATTTGTAAGCGTAATTACAAGCCAAATAGTCGGAGAAAGGTTCAACCTACAAGCCAGTTATTATTTAATTAACATAGAAAAACGATTAAAAGTTCACTCAATCAATATACGATACTGAGGTATTAATAGCTGCGGGATATATACTATCGGATGGCTCTGCTCGGATATTCTGATGGAGTGGGTGTGTTTTTAAATCAAAACAAATAAAACGAACATGACCGATTGTTTTATCTTTAAAAAATAAGGGAAAACACATATTTTTTTAAACGTATAAAATGTGCTTTATGATAAAAAAAAGATAAATTGTATTAATTTTGTATTGCCGTTTTAATGAAAATCTTAATTATCATTAAGTTACAGTGTAAAAAGCTACAAGTGTAAGTGTGAAAATGTTCTTATCTCTTATCCGGAAGATTCTTTAGAGTAAAAACTCTATTATTCGTAAAATATGGATGCGGAATTTTGTATAATAAAAGACATAATTAATATAAGGAATGCTTTATTTGTGTAAAACAATTACAATTACTTTCACTTGAAATTACTTATTTATTTATTATTTTAAAATTACTCGTCATCGTCAAAATTGAATCTTCTCATTCCATCAAATCTAAAGCCGTAAGCTGCCGCATTTTTAACGTCCACTAGCGCCGGATTGCGGTGTTTGTAGAAACTGCCATGTCCATGAGCCGGCCTCGAAGACCCGTTGGGGATACCATGTGCTTGCCGTGGATAAAACGCTTCGAAATTACCACTAGTAGACAATACGCTCTTTAATTCATCATCTTCAGGATCATACGGTCGACACATAAATGGCGTCAACATCGCTAGGAAAAATATAACGAAGATACAGCGCATCTGAAAAAGAATTGGTTTAAATTATTGAATTATGTGAATAATGAAATAAACTTTGACAAATGTAACGTACAATGACGGTAACGGATGCAAATTTTGTGAGCGTTACTCAATGATGGTTGCGTAAAAGAATGTGACAGAACGTAGCGGTCTGGAGCGGGCGGCGCTGCGAGCGCGGGGCAGTGGTTTGCCTTGAGAGGCAGACCATGGTGGAACCGAGTCAACACTGAGCGTGTCGTAATACTTTCCATTTACCTATTCACTACTCACGCACGAAATTATATAAATATACAATTGTTATGAAAGTACAAAAAAACTAAGGAATTGTTTTCATTTCGTCATTCTTGTTGACACTCGTTTCAAAGCGTGTCAGACGTACGTGAGCTATTTTACCCTAGTTACTTAAAATTGAAGTCTCATAAAATGTACAGAGACCTCATAAACACCTAGAATTGAGAAGCCATCTTTTGCCTTCCTTATATATATTTTTTTTATTTAAATTTTTATATTTTCATTTAAATACTCGAGTTAATGGCGTAGATATTTCGAGGACTTATAACGAAGTTCTAATGGAAAGAAATAAAAGATCAATATAATTTTCATAGATCATCTTTAATAAATTCCCGCAAAAATACTTACATTTATTATAGATAAGGTTCTACTGTTTACAAGTATATATATTATGTGGATGTATATGTATATGTCAAAAAGTGATTCCTTAAAATAATATCATTTTCAGTACGAATAAATTAGGTAATCATAGAAAGCAAAGCCTCAAGACCTCATTAATAATTCCAAATGATTTAGGGACATTTAAATGTATTTATTGTCCCTAAAAAAAATTTATATTTCGCTCAAAAAAAATTTATATTTCGCTCAAAAAAAATTTATATTTCGCTCAAAAAAAATTTATATTTCGCTCAAATAAAATTTTGTATCAATGAGGTTTAATATTTGTTTAAAAATCAGTTTTTGTTAGAAAATCTGATCTTCCATTAAATGAATGATATCACTGAATTAGGCTTTAGTTCTAAGATTTCCGGACCTAGACATTTTAGGCCATTAACATGGTAATAAGAATGGTGTATTTCAACAATGCCCAGTAATACAGTTTAGTTTATTAACTATAACAATTATTAGTTCTATTGCAAATCTCTATCAAAATTATATATGTATTTAAAACTTGAACAAATGTATGTTCTTGTATTGCACATGTGACCGTAAAATTGTGACCATCAACTTATAAATTGACAGTTCTTGAATCAAACACAGTTTCTTTGATAAACATTATTTTGTAATACCATTTTTTATATAACTATGATCACTTAGCAGAGAACCATGATTGTTTCACCCGTTGCTAAAACTTCGTTTTTAAGACGTCAGAGAATTTTTATACCAGAATTACTTAAGAACAAATTTAATTTAACTTTTATATTTTACTTTACAACAACTATTACAACCATTATCTAGTATTAACGAAGAAAAATATTAATTGTAAAATGGTAAATTCAATTCAAAAACCGTCAGATTATAACTTTAGTCCTATTACATATTATCAAAGTTTGCACTTATACGGTGACAAATATTGCTTGTTATTGCGTACCGAACACATTTCGGATGCGTCTCTACCAGAGATTCAAAAAATATAGAGTAGGCATAGTTGACACTTCACTTGAGACATTTTTCACATAATCTGTTAATTGCGAATAAGTGTCATTAAATAATGCATTGTATAGTTTATTTTATAACAAAAGATGGAGCTTATTATAATGTAAAATGTTTTATTACACAACACAAGAAACATGGTGGTGTACTTAATTGACAACAGATATAGTACCTTTCAGAGAAAGTACCGGTGAGAAATTTTATTCACTATGCCTAGTCTATATATTTTTAATGTCTTTGGACACAATTGTTAAAGTTACATACACCGAAAAATATCGACCCTTACATTAACCTCATCACAGTGACTGAAACAATAGTTTATTATGCTAAAAGTTAACAAATATATATCGTTCGCTAAGTGACGTGTAATTGAGTAAAATTCGTACTATATTTGTAAGCAGTGTGAACACATTTCTCTACGCAAGCGTATACCTATAAACATTATAACGAATTACATTATTTTGTTAATATTAAGGGGCACTGCGTGAACTTAGCACAAACAAACCGGATTGAACTTTGTACAAATGTCTTCATCATTAAGAATGTACAGAGTACATTGTTTTAATACTAATTCCATGACAACCTTAGTTTATACCTTATATAGATGCACGTCTAAACAATCTACTGAAACATTTTTACAACTATAAATAAAGGCCATATAACTCTAAAATAGTACCGATAATAATTACATACTAATTTTTATGTCGCTCCCTTTACAAACTAGTACATCTCAAGCCATAATAATATGAATGTTTTGTTTTTTTTTTTGTTTTGTTTTAAAGACGTTGGATATTTAACTTGTGTCAGATTTTAGCCAGGCATGGTTCTTATATTAATAATTATAAACAAACAAGAATATTTATCCTGGTAATATCCTTGTAAAAACTGACGTAAAAAATTGCATAAGAGCGCTGAGTTATGTGTTTTACTCCACAGGGTCACATACCTTATCTATACAACAATCGGTCTAAATTATAAATTATATTATAGAAATATCACGGTATTCGAATTGCACGGTAACTTTCTGAGCACGAGTAACGATGATAAACTGTTAATTGGAAATATTCTTGTTTCTTTGTCTTTCCAATGACTATTTCATACATAAGTTATATTTTGTTTTGCACAAAAGGCAGTGAATTGTTATCTAAAGTTGAGAATATTATCTATCCCATGCCTGATAGGGACTATATAAAAGTCAATTATGACAAGACACTAATTTGTACTCTAGTTTTTTAGTATTAGAATAGATCATATTCATATTTTAAATACCCAACCTCGTCAAAATGCCACTAATGATCTAGTATATCAAAAATATAATGAAATCGTAATCGTTTAACCATTTACCACAATATGGACTACAAACAACTACGCTATTGTATCTCGATTTGACGTTCAATGTTTCTAAGTTATTCATAAAAATATAATTTATAATTATTAGGCACAACTGTGTTACTAATTATTCGTAGATAGGTAACGATGTTATTGCAACTGCTAGAAACATATAGGCACTGTTATATACTTTGCTGGGCGTAAATTGCTTCTATATTGCCTTAAAGCACTAATATTCTATTCTGTTCATTATCAATGCTTATATAAAATAAGATACTAGCTCGCTATAAAACAATTAAGCTATATCTATTTAATAATCTCAAACACGAGTTACAAATATACAATTACAAATATAAATTTTTCATTTACTCTCTTAATTTATGGAATATTGTAATATACATTTTTTCAAACAATCAACCCTCATATATAGACATTAGTATAAAATAAATTAACAAATGGATTCACCTAGGCGCAGCCTATATTTATAGTAGAATTCAATAGAAGAGAAAAAAAATTCTGACATGTCAAAAAACATAACTGACATCTATGGATTTTTTTTTTATAATATGCGGTTGCAAACTCGCAAGCGGCCTGAATCCACCGAAATGGAAAACGACCGCTGCACATAAACTTCCGCTATTGCAGCGCTGCCCACCCTTCATTGACGGAGGAGACGCACATAAAGAGGGCATTTCGCCTATCCATATATGGCAATATTTGACCCACATTTGTCTGAATTTTGCTACTGTTCTATAGAAGGTTTAAATGTTTATACATACATCTGTTTTCAACTCTGGGACAGCATTAAATGTTTTTTTTCTTTCATATTGAATTCCTACTATACATTTCGCCGCAACCAAGAGTTCTTAAGTGATCAGTCGCATAAAGTAGGTTAGTAATAATTTTAATCGCGACAAATTTCAGTCCCATTTTCACTTTGTACTATTCATTTATTTACTAGGCTGTATGTAAATGCCAAGGTGCAATCCTATATGCCAGTAAAAAAAAACATTAACAGAGATCGTAAACAGTTACAATGTCATTTTAAAACTTAAAAACTATTGATAATACAGATATCTATAGAAAATAATATATTTGTAATATCAAACATTACTTGTATATTCAATATTTGCACTATAACACAAATTACTACTGTGAATATTTCTTTTATTATATTACGTGTAAAGCATTATTGTAAATAAATTCTACACAAACACAGTAACATGAGGCTTCATTGACGTCATAAAACGTTTTGGCCCAAAATCGTCAAGGACATTAATTTCCTACCCACGATAAAAATATCATAGCGACATATATATGTGCTAAATTATTGCATTTGCTGTACGGTATTAGTACTGAATGGATAGCAAATTTAATTCTCTGACTGTAGCGTACAAGTTTCAATATCTCCAGTATGTTACCGTGAATGCATAGCATTTATATATGTAAAAATTGCACTTTAACATTGCTAGATATGCACCAATCAAGTTTTAAGTTCACAGATAAAAATATCCGTAGTTCCCACTGTAAAACAAGAAAGAAACGCATTGATATCGTTTTTGTTTAGAGAGAAAACAAGGAAATACGAATTCATTGATATTTCGATTTACATCAACAATTGATAAGATATTTTCATCAATACCAAAACACATTAACTATTTTACGCGCAATTTTGAATTTTTGTACATTATTGTCATTTTTACTGAAAGATCATCAAAATAACATTTGTTTTCTTATATCAAAGAATGGTAATAAATTTTAGTTGTGTTTTGGAATATTATGTGAATATTAAAAAATGCTACGATAGAACAAAACTTGCTTAAAATTGTGAGTTAATTTAAAGTATTCTCCCTATACAAAAAGTGTCAATAATTAAAAACAAAACAATGGAATAGATAGAAATATTAAAAAATAACAGGAAAAAATAAAACCATCAATATGGTACAATAGTTATGTAAAAGAAACATTTTGAATTGGAATAAAAAGGGTGCATATAATGGTGTATATAGAACTAAAATTAAATTAATATTCATAATACTTTCAATAAAATATCATTTATACAGATGATTTAAGAATTAAGAATATATTGCATTTTATATACACACAGTTATATACACATGGGAAAATATCAACTTAAAAATAAATAAAAAAAAGCATTATAACTCAACGAGGGATCATTGTTGAGTTTAAAACTTTATTAAACTGTTACTTTTGATTGGAATAAATTAAGTTTGTTCTATAATTGTGGCAGAAATGTTCATATAATTTTGTGTTTCCACTAACGAAACATGTATGAAAACGTATAGGTGTCTCAATTACTTCACGGAGAATGAAAGAGACAGAGACAGAGTGAAATATTAAAGACGTTTAAATTAATTACAAAACGCCATACCTACCACAACCAATTTACTAACGGCCAAACCCAATAATCTATCTCAATCCATTTCTGATAAAAAAAAATGATTCATTTACCTTATTACCGATTTAAGAATCGCAACAGCAATCTAAAAACCCAATCTACCGTTCAAATTACTTTCGATAGGTATATATTTGTACTTCCTAACATATAAAGTAATTAAAATGGGATCGATCTTAATTATTGATATTTTTTTCTGACCGTACATATTGCTGAGTTAATTAAAAGCCAATCTATAACTGGAAAGCTAATTTACATTACGATTGATCGAGTATCGATGATTATAATATTGCAAATGCAAGCTGTCAACGGTATTTAGTAAATTTATTAGTTTGATGTTTTCAATTATCTGGAAGAAGAAAGTTAAAAAATCTAAAAAATATATTTTTAAGTCAATTCAACAATATTAAATTAAAGGGCTTTAGCAGTGTACTATGAAAAATCCAAAATGGCCGCGTTCAAAAACGAAAGGCCTTGACAGGATAATGTTAAAACCAAGATGTCCGTCGTTAATATTAGATCTCAATATTTATCATAGATTTAACATAGGGAACATAAGCTTATTAATTTAGTTTTTAATCCATAGGTTTCGATACTAGTCTTATTATAAGCATCTGCACTCGATAATCGTGTAAATTAGTACTAACCAAAAAAAACAAAATTAAAAAATCCATCACACCGATGATTACCGGAATTCATTTGTGCCCCAATATTTGAATATACTAGAATAATTTAATAAGGAATTGTTCATATCCGTTCTTACTCTAATTCTAATACTAATTAGGGAACAGCCCACTACAAGCAATTAGTGTAAAGCACTCATAACAATAAAATTCATTAAATATTGTAATTCACGACTACATTTTCTCCATTTGTGTTCCAATAACAATAATGTATATATAAATATAGATATAATGTATATTCTTCATGTCAAAAACTGTTAACATTTCTTATGTGACTTTTTCTGTCAATTTATTTCATTAGAACAAAAATATTAATATTACAATTATTAAAATACATATAAAACCGTGAATTATAGTTCAAATTATGTTGATAATCATATATTTATCTATTTCATTTTATAACATAAAAGGCAATTTGGAAAAAATATTGTTGGTTGTATTCTGTTTGGTTCTAGAAATGAAATTGTTAGTAAAAATATTTCTTTATGTATGGTTAATTGGTTATATATTAACTTGTTCTATTATTCTATTATTTTAAGGCACTATTGCAAATACGATATTAACATGAAAACGGTTGTAAACTGGATTATATTGCTAATAATATGTATATATATTTGTGTGTATAAATCGGAACACAAAGAGAGAAAGTTACTAATAAATGCAAACATTTGGTATATCAATTATAATTATGCGAAACACCATTTCATTTAAACACAACACATTTAAAAATGCGAGTAAATATTGCTTTTGTTTGATATTAAACGTGAGAACACACCTCAGTACTCCCTTAGATTAAAAAAAACCAACTACACCTGATACAGTTATAATGTGTAGCCGACTTTATAAATTAAGTGAATTTCCTTGCGTTTTTGAAGCTTTCACACACTATATAAATAACTTTCTAGTTTCGTTTTGACCGAAGGTTGAGTGAACGGTGAAAACCATAATAAAGAAAATCTACCAAAAACAGCCTGAATGCTCATCCATCTTGATTTACGAACCCATCTCGCTTGTTCTTTCTTCAACTGTTCAATACCCTGCAAATAAAAAAAATAATAATAACATCCATAACTAAAAAGCAAACAAAAACAATTAACACCAATTACTATGCTTATTGATATTTATTAACAATATTTTGTAATTTTTTATGTTCATATTACTTAAGCATTTTTATTATTTACCCAGGATTTACCAAAGTAATTTATATTGAAAATGTTGAATTGTAATGTTTTGATTATTTATTAATTTTAGATTACTCAATGTTAAAAGCAATAATTGGACATTTTTTCTATTCTAAGGGACCTTAATTTTTCAAATAAACACTTAATAGCATTTATCCTAAGGGCTTATCTACACATCATTTTAAAGCGATTCACAATAAATATTAAAGAAAACTGTCAAAAATAAAACTCTATTAAAAAAGCAATGCCATGCATGTTTTATGATAAAGAGAAAGGATCCGAATTGGATTGAAAAAAATAGAATCAACTGGCCCTCGTCTTTTAATTTTAATTAAAACCTACTTCAGTAATAAATAGCATTTCAATGTATCCAATAATTGTTATATGTTATTGGTTCAAATCCTTTCCAATACAATCCGCGCGCGGAGCACGAATGATTCCGTACATCTCTTTCCCTCCCACGTAAATATTAAGCGTCTCGCTCGCACAGAAAAAACTACCGCCAGTAAGGTATTGTAAACCTTTTGTTAGTGAAGTTACATTTGTTCTTGTAAACATTAAGCTATCAAAATTTCACTCAAGCAAATACTTTAAATTAATTAAAAGTTTGTAGTTCTTGATAAAATATACTTAATCCGTAAATTGCTTTTAGATCTATTAAACATGGTTTTAACTTTATTTTCAAACTGCTTTTCGCCCGCGACTCCGTCTGCGTGGAATTAAAAAAAAGCGATGTGTTCTTCCAGACTACTCTCTACGTTTATGCCGAATTTCATTGAGATCCGTTCAGTCGTTTAAGCTACAAACTCTAACAAACGTTTATTCATCTAAACTTTTGCATTTATAACATTGGTAAGATTGTAACTTCCACAAAAATGTTTGTCACCACTGTCTAATGATTTAAATGTCATTGTACGGAGTTTTTCGTGCTCTACGCTATGACTATAGCTACTAATCATTGCTAACAAAATGAACATCCTCACATCAAGTATATTGGAAGATAAATAAAGTTATTTGAAACTAAAAACAATTTAGAATGTTAACGATTATGTACCCTTTCAGGCACTATTATAGTGCCTTCAGGTATCTCGATGGCTGTTAGTTTAGTCTGTTGATCAGGCTCGTCGGTGATGGCCCCAGATATTGTATAGATGTCCTGTTGCCTTCGCTCCCAACCAAGCCTCGTCAGCTTTGATCATTCAGACCGGCTTTCAGGATCACGTAATATATTTACAGGCAGATACTGAAGCCAAAACATTGTAAATAATTGCAGAAACTATATAATGGGCACAATTTTAATCATTTATATATCGATTAAAACCCATATGCAGAAGCCTTAAAGCAGTGAATTTAAAATGTCTGCTTGTGTTTAATATTAGTGATTGCTCAGTACATATTTGATAGCGTGTCTTAATGTCACCTAATGCTTAGTATGTCATTATATTATATATTTTATATAAACTATTAGCCAATGTATATTTTCTAAGAATGGCTATACATTACGAGTCTAAACTATTTTGTTTATTAATTTTAATATGTATTTGTAAATGATGTCGAAACTAAATTGAACAATCATGAACTATAAATATGACAGACTAAATTCGTAAATACTAAATGCATTTTTTTTAAAAGGATAACTTAAATCCAGACCATGTTTTCATTATAACTTTCTAGTGTAATTCATCATTTTTATGGCATTCCATTAAATAATACCATAACAAAAATTATATATCAAGTATGCAATATAATAATTATTATTTATTTCATATTAAATTGTATGTAGAAGTCAGAATATTCCATAATCAAAATACCTACGTTAAAGGGGAAATTTTGATTCTTACACAAAATGTATTTAAACTACAACCAATTAAAAAATAGAGACTTCTATTAGAAAATACACACTCAGTGCAAGTTCATTTTCCACAAATATCACAATTGCATTAAATATATTAACTATATTTTGTGTATGAATGCATGTTTCTAACACTCACCGTTTCATCATTCCATATAGCATGTAACTGAGTTCCGAGCATAACCGCAGTGAATATAGCAAACAGTAGAGCTTCAGCGATCAGAAACAGTAAAAGTACGACTGTAGCCGGCGGAGAATATGTACTACAGTCACGCCACTCATGTCTTATACATGTCACAAATTGATATACAGACAGAGTTAGTGAATGGATAGATATTGCAGCTATATAGAACTGAAACAAATATTATATTACTAGCTTTCGCCTGCGACTCCGTCCGCGTGGAATTGAAAAAAACAAAAGTGAGTAACCTATGTGTTCTAACAGACTATCTTCTACACCTATGCCAAATTTCATTGAGATCCGTTCAGCCGTTTAGGCTACAAACTCTAATAAACATCCATCCATCTAAACTATCATATTTGTAATATTAGTTAGACGTACATCTTACTATATTATAAATGGAAAAGTTTAAATGGATGGATGGATGTTCTGTTGGTGAAGGAAATCATCATCTTACAACTTATTCATATCTGTGAAATTCATAAATATGTGTGAAATCTGTTCACTGTTTGTTTATGGCCTATACTCCCTCAGTAAGGACCTTCATATGCACCAAATAATTTTATACAAAATGTATTGAATATTTTGTAGTAATAAAAAACTCATTGATATATCAGGAACAATTAATTTGTCACTAAACATAAGTAAATTCAGTCATCAGTAAATAATTAAATAAACAAGCTTTTTTTATATCTTAATTTATAATGTACTTACCGTGAATAGTACGAAATACTTTTGATTATTTTCACCGACACAGTTATTAACCCACGGGCAATGATGGTCCATCTTCCTAATGCATCTCTGACACACCGAGCAATGATGGGCCCTTTCTGGTTTTATACTGCAACACTTTGTACATTTAAAGATCACCTGCCCTTCACGGAAACTCATTTGCTTTATCATTTCTTTGGTTGCATTCCCTTTTGGTACCGCACCCTGTGTACAAAAAAATAATCGGTTAAATATCTTCACAGTACTACATTTTTACTGTACTTCATACACTTAAAATCTAAATTTGATTTTCCATATTAAATATATCTAACTCAGTGACAGTAAAGTTTTGAAAATGTCCTATTTCGGTGCCTCATTTATTATCATTAGCTAACAGTAATTTGTCAAGCATACTGGATTCCATTTCTAGTTAGCTGCTATTCAAAATTTTATCTTTTTCTTTATACCTTGATGTTAAAGAATTCAATCAAAAAGAAAAATACTTCGTCGAAATGACGATGGGCCCCACCATTCATTAAAAAAGAAGGAGGGGGAGAGGGGGAGAGAGAGAAGTTGAACATAATAATTGATACATACCGGGTCAGTGAACATTGTCCTAAGATGAGATGCAAAAGCCAAGAATGCTAATGTCTGGAACAGTATAATATTGGAATAGCTGTAGAAAGGGTATGTCGATACACCTGGTAGAAGCATCACCATCATCACCACAAACTCCGCATACAATATCAACAGCCATGTTAACACCGCACATATTATTCCACAGATGTCCTGAAAAATAAAAATTAAATATTATTTTCAATCATGTTGCATGCAACCAGACTGGTTTGACCTAGATTTCGTCTCATCTTTACGTATGCATCTGTAAATTTATTCTTGTTGCATCAAAAAGGAATAACTTTCTAGGTCAATCTAGCTTGTTATTCAATAATAATGTAACTTTCTGATGGCAAAAGTATTTTTGAATAGGTATAGTAGTTTTTGAGTTCATTCAATACAAACAAAATGCAAATCATCCCTTAATATTAGTATAGAGTATAGATAGACACAGCCTTATCAATTTTTATTTATAAACTAGCTTTCGCCCGCGACTCCGTCCGCGTGTAATTAAAAATAAAAACAAAAGTAATTAGCCTATGTATTCATTCAGAGTATCCTCTACATCTATACCAAATTTGCACAAAATCTGTTTAGCCGTTTAGACTACAAACTCTAACAAACAGCCATCCATCCATCTAAACTTTCACATTTATAATATTAAAGTATGATATAACAAAGGTAAAAATAAAAGTATTTAATGAACAGAACAGAAAACTAAATCCCAACGACTATAATTGTACCATATCAATGATGCATTGAAAATTGGAATTGAGTTGGAAAAATCAATACAACCAAGTTTGTTGATATAAATAACAAAGGTCAGGTCAGATACAGGCTGGGCGGACAATTTAAAGAAAACAAATGTCATAATACGAAAACAAAAGATATCAGGGTTATACTTAGTTTTTTTTTTTTATCATTTTGTTGTTTTTAATTGAATATGCTCAAAGTTAGCAAACAGATCACCTGATGTTAAGTGACCAAGCATTTGCTATATGCTAATGATTTTCAAGGTAACATAGTATGACTCTGGTTTCATACATATAAGACTAATAGTCAGATTTTGAATAGGTACAGTAATTATTGTATAAGGACACTTCTAACATACCCAGTTCATTTTAGTGTTAATAAAGGTGGCATTGAATGTGTTAAAATTTCTAAATACAGAATAAGTATTGGCAGCTAGAGAACACCTTTATATCTCATTTAACTCCCTTTCTATTTAGTAACCTTTTTTATAGGGAGAGGAAGGGAAGGGGAAGTAGATTTGACTGTGGAGATACATAGAAAGGAGAAATATCCCCTTTATGTTCATCTCCTCCTCTATCAGATAAGGGTAGGTAACACATCTGCAATTGTGGATGTTTATGTGCAGCGGTCGCTTTGCCTTTTTGGAGAATTCAGGTGGCCACTTGTTACTTTCCCACCTTATATTATAAAAAAAATCCATTTCATTTTTGTTTACCAAAACATGCAACTTTCTATTATAGTTACACTTTCTTTTGGAAGAAATACAATGTTAAGTTTGTATATTTTAACAGTAAATATGTATACTTACTTTTATACACCAAGCTTTGCCACCGCAGCAACGATTGTGCATATCACGATCTGGTCGGGTGAGAACTAGACATTCCGGGTCTGTTTGGTAGTGATTTTCCATTTCATCTTCATCTGACGAGTCGTTAAATTCCCGTATCATTTAGTACTTTCTTTAAATCTAAAAGATAACACAGATTAAAATAAAAACTGTCTATTTGTGTACAATACATTGCAAAGCAAAAGTGTTTAGGTATTATCAGATATATAGACTAAAAAATTTAAGCGAAACATTCGCAGTACACTAAAAAATATAGTAAAAATGGCAATGCGACGCAAAAACATCTTTACATCCTACTACATATTATTACCAAGTATAACAATTATCTATACTACTATAAAGAGGAAAGATTTGTATTTTTGAATGTAATGAAGTAACTCTAAAACTACTGGGTCAAATTTAGAAAATTCTTTCATAGTTAGAAAGGTAACATATCTGTGAGTAACACAGGCTATATATTTAAATTTCACGCGGGCGAAGTCGCAAGGAACAGCTAGTTTTAAAATAAATAAAATGTGTATCTCAAATATTTTTCAATCAGATGAATTCTTCATTTTCTAAACAAACGATTTAATAATTTAATCTAACAATTCATGCATTAGCCAATAGACCACAGCTGTGAAGCATATTAGATTTGAAAATAATCACCATGTTCGCTACACAATCTAAATAAACTCAGGAAAAGGTAATACAAACCAGAAAATACTTTTTTCCTAACACCTTATGTACTATAAGATTGTTATTTCATTAAATAAAACATTAATAGCTCCAGCAAATTCTGTTTTGTATTGTTTTTAAACTTTTATTATTTCATTAAAAACCTGCAAAGTGTTAGAAATGATTAAATTATCATCCTATATAGACTCAAATTTATAAGGTGAGCTTTTAAGATTTTTGGTATAGATAAAACGATGTTTACAAGAAATACAGTAGTATAAAAAAATTTAACACGTGAAGTAAAATCCCTTTAGTACACTTTCATGAGAGAAGAAGACCACATCTTAATTTTTACGATATCGATAACTTCGCAGTGGTAAATGCTTCGCATACAATGCACTTCCTTAATTTCTCAAAAGCAAAAAACTTTCAAAGCAAATAATAAGCTTAACCCACCTGAGGAATTCTTACAAAACGTAGTCAACCTAATTTGAGGGTCACGGTCGCAACGTACTTATTCGTCTTACAAGTTTCATAGTAATGTAAATTAGTGTAAAATATATTGTTAACGCGTGGAAATAGTGGTGAAGTTTATGAGATTTTGCACAATTTTTTGTTTCAGACTAAAGTCATTCAAAATCAATAAAGCGGTATAAAAAGGCTCTCTCACGCCCGAAGGTATTTTAGTAATAGTGATGTGTTTGGTTTCTGGTTGGTGTCTATTTGACATCGAGTAAATAGTGATGTGAATTATTCAACATTCGTTCCATTCATCATCATTTAAAAAAATATATTAACTTTGTCTGAGGAGTCCTAATTCGTCTTTGAAATGGGGATGTTTCCTAATTTTTGGAATTGCTTTTATTATGTAGATAAACCATATCTAAACAAGAAAAAAAATATAATAAAATCACATACGCAACATTTAATTAAACTAAATTAAGTAAACTATACTGAAAACTTTTCCACGCTGTATAAAGATGGTCTGAATGAATGCCTTTTAATTTACCGATTTTCCTAAAAAAAATAATGAAACACATCATCAAAAAAGGTTTCCATTTAATTAAGATGATTTTAATTGACGATACAGATATGAAATCAATACTATTTAAAATACCTGTTTTACTAACATATTTTTAGCATTTAATTATAAACGCGCCTAAAAACAACGCGAGTCTATGCACATTCTTATTTAGAACGCATCGTTCTTTCTATAATCTATACTCTTTTATGCCTGGTACACACTTGGTCATTTGTCAGTACAGTACAGTTAGCCAGTAACGCAAACTAGGCAAAATGTGTATGGTCACACTGGCGCCAGTTATTGTATTCACCATGCCAGTTGAATGTCAGCTAGTTATTGATCGTGTCTATCAAATGTGAAATGTGTACTAGGCATTACATTACTTTGCTGGGCTGGTGGTAGCTGGTAGGCGAAAGAAAATTTGTGCGTTTAACTTGTGAATCTAATTTAGTAATTGGTGTGATATTAACTGGAGATTGCATTTAAAGATGCCGGCGGTAAGTATTCTCTAAAAACAACGATTTTAAATCATTTTATCATAGAGAACTATGATAAAATAGGACCTCGCTAGAGGTCCATTACAGATACAACTTTGAGAGCCTTTGTTCCTTTGTCCTGTATGAAACATTTGTTTTTTATAGATTACTTGAAATAAATATTTGTCACATTATGCAGTGTTTCAACAAAACTGGTTAATATTTCTAGATTATGAAAAATAATTGGTATATTTCATTTTGAACAGCCATTACTGAAGGGACCACGCCCTTAAATTTTGCCTTCTGGAAAATCAATATCGTTTTTAAGACAATGGCTTAAGTAAGCTTAAGCTCATGAGGCTTTTAAAAAGGAAAATTAAGAACTAATTTTCAATAAAGCAGGCTTTATCTTTGTGACCCTGAAGGATGTAGTGTATTTAAAATTTCCCAATAAGAATAAAAAGTGGATTTCACAGGGGAAGGAATAGATAGGGAAGATAAATATAAATATCTTTTTGTTTCTTTGTCCATTTATTGAATCACATCAGATCACATGCATGTTCCAAATGTTTAAGTGAAGAACTGAGTACTTAGCATTAAATAAGTTGCTTACTCAATTCCCAGTTTCTGATTTGAATTCTTTTTCCCATAACAATCCATTTGTTCAATTGATGGATATCCGCAGCAATAGAGAAATAGCAGACGCATTACCAACATTGAAAATGTTGTCGGTTTCATACCAATCCAGTAATAACAACGATGTAACGGCCCGAGCCAAAACTCCTCAAGCTTTTCAACTCATAAACAAGGTTTAGGCTAAGCGCCATCCACGCTCGGGATCCACAAGCCCGATGAATCTGTAAATGCCTCTTCAATTTAAACTGTGGCAATTTAGTTAAAGGTATTCCACTGAAAATCAAACCATTTCACAATTGAGAAAAGTACCAATGTAAAATTACTTTAACTTCAACATATTTTAACCACAAAAAATTAAGTACTATTTGTCTTTAGTGTTTCTCATATTGGTACACCCACTGGCAAATAGTATACAAGGGAGATTCCGATGCAATAAAATCTTGTTCCTTTCACAGAGACGAAAACAACCGACCCGAGGCGGGAAGCAAATAATTGCTGAAAATGAGGCGACGGTGCGCTTCTACCGAAACATGTCGCTGGTCTGCGGAGCCATTTACAACACAGTCTTCTACTTTTTCTTCTATGATCACATGTGCCCGTTAGTCATGGTAAGCTCATACAATGGTCCTGGTTAAATATATCAGACTATTTAGAGGTCATTTGCTAAATTTTTAACTAAAGATATCCTCCGTCTAAAAATTTTCTTTTGTTAATTTTAAATACTCCTAATAAGGAAATTTCTCGTTTAGCTGTCTTCAGTGCTAATTTACAATAATAGTATTTCAGTCTTTATTTTGTCAAAGTATGTAAGGGAGACAGACAGAAAGAGAATGTAAGGGATGACAATATTGTTAATAAAACTGCTATTAAATAAATTAAATACAAACTACATTTAACATAAAGCTGCTACACAATTTTTTCTTTTAACTGTACAATCGGACTTTTATAATATTGCCTTTATATTGTATAGTATTTGTATCAACTTGTTTTACACATAATGAATAATTTGTTTCTTCAACAGTGCATGAACATTTTGGTGACTGTGATTTATGTCTCCTGTTACCATTTTATGCGTCACATCACGCGCCCTGAGTACTCCATGCAGACCTACCAACTGCTTGACCCTGGACATGACCTGAACATGGATGGCGGCATTGGCGAGTAAGTAATATTTTAAACACTGACACAAGAGGCACAGATACCCAACTTCTATTATTATTATTTTTGTTTTTTCCCCTGTCCATTTAAACAAAACAGGAACGGCAAGTTATCTCTGCAGTGGATCGACAGATTGTTGTCTCTAAAAAAAATGGTGCTAATATAGAAGTTTTAGTGCATCTAAGATTTCCATAACCATCTTCAATGCCTTAGATAGATTGATTGCTGGAATCTACAAAAATAAATACAGTTTATAACAATCTAAACACTTATAAATAACATTTGTTTTTTGGAGCAGTGTCGCCCTTACAATAATAAAAATAAATCTATTTGAGTCAATTCATTACAAAAATATATTACCTACCGCTATAAAACTATGTTAGATTGCTCACTGATCTTTTATAAATAGATATGTCTTAAACTAACAGCTTTCTGACATAACACAATGATGTTAATGGAAGTTGATTCTTACAGCCTGTCCATTTATAAAGGTCACCATAGTTATTGAATTGTATTATTTTTAGACATGTGAAGGATGTCGTGATCGTTGCTTCGGTTACCCATCTGTTGGCCCTTTTCTCCAACAAGTTCTGGCTGACTCTTGTCATCATACCGCTGAAGGCTTTGTGGCTGTTCTGGGTGAACGTACTTGGACCCTGGCTGGATAAAGATGACCTTGAGTAAATTGCAGAAGACAGCCAGCACACAGCCTAAGAACACCGAGAAACAGGAACCAGTACCAGTAAACGTTCAAATGTTATTTCTTTGAAGCATTTGCAACTACTGGCTATAATGATTTTTTTAATTTTTTTTTATTTTACATTTATAAAATACTTTTATCTCATGATAAGAAAATAGCCTACTTTTTTTAAAGACTTAAAACTGACTGATCTTAAAATTTACTTAAACTTAAATAATTATAATTAAAAGTACTCATTATTAGTTCATAATTTTTGCTACAGACTTTATAATTGTGATATGTTAAACATAATGTTTAGTTTTTAATAGTTTTTATTCCAAATATAAGTACAAATTTTTTTTAAATTAATTTTATGACTGATTAATTAATTTGCTCATGTTCTTGGGTTGTGATAAATACTTAATGTATTTAAACATCTTGCTATAAACGTATCTTGAACGCGCGATTAAACTATGTAACTTTTTTTCTATGTAATTTTTATATTTTATATAGAAAAAACGTTATGTGTTTCTTAATTTTAAAATAAGTATAAGTCGATGTTGTATTCATGTATCCATTAGTCATTGACTTTGATTGGTGTAATTTCTTGGTGTTAACACAGTATTAGAATTGTCAGTAGAATTAAAATATAACATACTCTTCTCCTAAAAATTGATCTGAATGACATTTTTATATAATTTTATAATTTTAAGCAACAGATAGTGTTATCTTTAATACGATTTATGTTTTAATTATTTTGTTTATTTCGTTTGTTTCATAGATTACTTATTTCAATGTAATTGATTTGCAGTATTACTTTTAATTGTATAATTTAGTAACTAATTATCTCGAAGAATTCCTACTCTGAGTGAGCATAATTCTAGTCGTATCAGTTATGGGTAAGCATTTTTTTTAAACGCTAATATAAAATATTAAAACTGTTCCTTATACTTTCTATAGATGTGGAAACGCTTTCAGCAAACACATTTTTGTCCTATTTATGATTAGAGCGCTTTGTAATATTGTATTAAAAATATGATAGAGAACTCTCTCGCAAGACTGTAAGAGATTGATTTAAAAAATCAATTTTTAAAATGTGATGTTGGATAAATAAAAAAATAATCTTAACTCGCGTACGAAGTTGCACATTTTTCGTTTTCAATTATAAAAATAACATTAAATCAACAGTAAATTCTTGAAATAACTGAAAAACAGATTTTATTTTGAATTTTCGATAGCATTGAACAAAGGAAAGTATTTAATTTTTCGAATTAACCTTGCAATTAACTTCAATTATAAAATATCGTCTGCTCAACGTAGATTTTAAAATTATTTGACAAATATTACATTGTGTCAAAAGAAGTATAACTTCAAAACGAGAGGATTTTGAGGATTTCCACTGGGACGCCTGTTCCATTTTAGCGATATTTCACATTTCCTTTAAATAACATGGATAGTGGAAATTCTCTATCAGACTGTACTTTATTTTTAATTACTCCTTTAGTTTATCCAAAGTGAATATCGTTTAATCTTCGCATTTGAAACAATGCAAATTTGAATTAATATGAGAGCTTCATAACTATTATGTGATCTCATTTGTACTTGAAATATTTACCCTTTATAATATAATCATTGTAGGATTAAGAAGCAAAGAGTTTTTTGTTTTAGAATTTTTTTTAATTTAGCGATTTCTACTAGTCGATGTTACAGGCCAGTTATTTAACTTAAAACTTAAAGTTTTAATTGTATTATTAATGATGTGATTTTAACCGACTTCAATACGTCCAAATTGAGTTATATTCATCCTTCCCAAATATAAATACTTCGTTTAAGAATATTGGCAATTAGTTGAAATTCGGAAATAATTTATTGCTTTGTCAGGTTTTCGAACGGACAGTATTTTTAACTCTTTGTCGTAGATGTAAATTTAGAAATAATCAATGTATACCTTATAATATAATCTGTCGTGAATTGTATGGGCGTCCCTAACGGAGGCAATTTAAAAAAAATTAATTTGTATACAAAACTACTTCTAAATAAGCGGCCTACTTATCGATGGATAACTCAAAAGTAATTTATCAGTTACATTAAATGTTTGGACTACATTTGATTATCCCTTTGAAATAATGAATATTTAGGGCCTGTCCCACAATTCTTGTATGTCAGATAACAATCCAACATAAAATATCTGATAGAAGAATCGGATTTTGGTACTCTATCTGACAGTGATGTCACTTACGCTATCCGAGCCTCTATCAGCCAGTTGGACATGCCTTTATAGTCTTTCCCCTCTTGATCATTGGTTGGGGACGCCCTTGTGTTTTTTTAAAACATATCAGTATTTTATCGATGTAACCAACTTTTAACAGTTTTTCGGATTTTGAATTTACATAATACCTTAAATACAATTTAATAATATTTTATCTGTATTACGTTACAAATAAGAATGTGCGCCTTCCTACTTCGATATGAATATATCTCTACAAAAACCAATTTTTAACAAGAAATTAATTCCGCAATTATTTTTTGAATTCTAATATTCAGATTATAAAAAAAACTATTTTAATAATTTTTACTATTATAACTCTAGGTATCTTTCGGTTTGAGAGCGGTGACGTCATGATGTTTACGCACATTCTTATTTGAACCGCATTTTAATAAATTACATTTCGAAATTGATGTTGTAGGAAGTTTTGGTAGTGTCAGTGTAATTTTAACGTATATCAATAAACTTATCGTCAAAAAAACTCTTTTTTATTTTTTAATATATCGTTCCCTTTATTGTAAGATAACAGGATGGTAAGATATTGGTCGCCCATTGGTAGAAAAACGACCATAAATTGTGAGGATTTTTAGTTAATTTTTATCATATTAAGGATTCATACAAAGTAGAAAGATCTCGCTTGAACTAGTTTTCTAAAATCAATAAACTAGTTTTGAATATCCAAATATCTACACAAAAACATAATTGTTCAAAATCATTGTATCACTAATAGCTACGTTTCGAATTTTCATATGTACATAATTTACCCGACGTTCTTATGGTGAAGGAAAACATCGTGAGGAAACCTGCATAAATCGCCGAAGAAATTCAAAGATATGTGTGAAGTCAACCAACCCGCACTTGACCAGCGTGGTTGACTATGGCCTAGTCACCCTTACTAAGGGTAGGCTCCGAGCCCCTCTGTGACGACTTATAGTGAGCTGGTGATGAAAATAAGTTAGCAAGTATTTTTTAAAATGGGACAAAAAATGCCCAATGTTTATCAATTTTAATTGCTTTACTACAAAGGTATTATTTAATTACAATTCTCATGGTTTATTTAATAATGAAGGGAACCAAACCAATTACAATTTTTGTATTATAGTTATAAAAAAACTAAATGGAGATAAAATTTCATCATTAATTAAACTACTAATTAGTATATTATACTAGCTTTCGCCTGCGACTCCGTCTGCGTGGAAATAAAAAAAAAGTAGCCTATGTGTTCTTCCAGACTATCTACATCCATACCAAATTTTATCAAAATCCGTTCAGCCGTTTAGGCTACAAACTCTAGCAAACATCCAACTATCCATCTAAACTTTCGCATTTATAATTTTAGTATGATTTCTTTTCAAATAGAAGTATTGCTAGTTAAACATAGGTATATTGAAGATTATTTCATGTTACCAATTTTAGTGACATCGACGGATGGATTAAGCACCCCTAGCTAAGGGTAGCCGGACCCCTCGGGGAGAGAAGGGTATCTACTTCTTTGTTGTTGTAATATGAAGTTTTATACTAATAACTAGCTTTCGCTCGCGACTCCGTCCGCGTGGAATTAAAAAAAACAAAAGTGAATAGCCTATGTGTTCTTCCAGACTATCCTTTACATCTGTACCAAATTTCACCGAAATCCATTCAGCCGTTTAGGCTTCAAATTCTAACAAAAGTCCATCCATCCATCTAAACTTTCGCATTTATAATATTAGTTAGATTGCACGAACCGTAGTGCAAACTTAATTGCTAGTATTGTTATAAAATAACAGAAGTAAGCATGAATGGAACCAGGTGTCAGGTGATACTAAACACTTTAAAACGGCTAAACCGAGATGGATAAAATTTAAATAAAATGTAGAGTTTACAATTCCTTAAAACTCATTGCGAGGAAACAAATACTTTATTAATTCCACTTGGACGTAGTCGCGGGCAACAGCTTGTGTAAAATTGTTTTAGCGGATTTATTAATTCCTATCTAAGTACCATATTAATATCATAATGTGTTAATTTAAATAATTATTCGCTATTGTGTTTACAATGACATTATTAACCAAGGCAAAAACGACGAAGGTTGTTTAGTCCACAAGTATTTATTTATTACACTCGTTAAATAATGTTCGTATAAAAATAAGTAAATAAAAAAGTATTCAAAAAGTATAAAAAAATTAAGACAATGAAAACTATCGCGAATATAACCTAGAAGCCATGAACCGTGATACTTGTATAAACATGTATCTTCCTTCCTTATCCGTCCTTATCGCCGTCCTTTTCATCTGGTTTGAAATATTTGAGACAACAATAGCGTCATTGTAGTCACGTCGAAGACCTAAAACACGCTATCGACATTTTTTCATTCGCTCCGTATATATACGCTCGGCAGTTGTATGCTTATCGAGGGTCCGTTTCTACACAGGTAAAAAGTGATGGGTATAGAGCTTTATAAATTCTTACCCAAAGTGCCCACTGCGTCCATACCGCGGCCAAGGGATCATTCATGCCTTTAGGGATCAAACTCTCCCGAAGTGCTCTATTCAATTCTCAATTCAAACAAAGCATACAAGCTCACAAGTCAAAGGTGACAATCCAAGCAAGGTTCAATATACCTCGACACCACTGCTGTAGAAGCTATGACCCTCTTTTTGTATTTTTTTTTACATTCGAACATTGTCTATATTTATACTAATATTATAAAGAGGAAAGATTTTTGTATGTATCGAAATAAGTGAAAAACTGCTGAACTGATTTCAAATATTCTTACACCAAAAATCTATGTTATCATTGAGTAACATAAGCTATATTTATACATTTTTTTTTAATTTCACGCGGGCGAAGTCGCTAGTAATATTTCAATACAAATGTTATGGTTAATTTTGACTTAGTATTATAAAAAGACATGTTTCGTTTTTCAATGACCATTTATATTCCGAGACAGGAAACTAGTTGAGCTGCGCATATCTATTCCCAGGTACCTATGTGCATATATAAAACCCTATAGATATTGATATGTTGCATGGCGTCGCGTCGCGTCGGCTTAAATGCGCGCGCAAACCGACGCGACGCGGCGGATCAATACTGTCTGCATCGAATAAGCTATCAATTACCAACATGTCCAGTTAAATTTATACAAGATGAATGCAGTTTCAATACTTTCAAGATATGAAGAGATGTTTTCATTACTTGATATCATTTAACACACGATTTCAGTAATTAAAATACCTTTAAGAATTAAATGAATTTATCATACTAATATTATAAATGCGAGAGATTAGATGGATGGATTTTGTAGCGTAAACGGCTGAACGGATTTCGATGAAATTTAGTACAGATGTAGAGGATAGTCTGAAAGAACACATACAGGCAATTTTGTTTTTTTTAATCATATATCATATCTTACTGATATTATAAATGCGGAAGTTTAGATGGATGGATGGATGTTTGTTAGAGTTTGTAGCCTTAACGCCTTAACGTATTTCGACGAAATTTGGCATGTAGAGATTGGTCTGGAAGAACACATAGGCTACTAACTTTTATTTTTTTAATTCCGCGCGGACGGAGTTGCGGGCGTAAGCTAGTATAAAATAAAAGTGGCGAGCGAACGCAACTAAAAAGTTATTTTCATTACTTATTTGTTGTTATTTAACATAAGCAGCAACACAACATTTGAGTAATTAAAAGGCCTTTACGAATTACATAAAATAAATTATTTTTTGACCGACTTCCCAAAAGAAGGAGGTATTCAATTCGACGGTATATTTTTTTTTTTTTATACATATTTCTTTCTTATTCAGTCAAATTTGGCAACGCCATACAAATGTGAACATACTTTGTATGTTTCACTTTTTAGTACCCATTAACACTTACATTACATCCATTTGTCACGTCGCGTTCTTACGTTAACCAGAAGTCACAGGTGTCAATGGATCAGGACTACTTTTGATCGCAAATGTTGTATTAAAATGTTGAAAACTTGCACATAACAAATGCTCTACGCTTCCATCGCATTAAAACTTCTCGCTCTTTGATTTTTTTTATTACGAGTATAGGCGGCAATAGAGCTAGTGGCCATTTAAATTGTCCATGCCACTCGCAATTGCAGAAGCGTTGCCCACCCTTAATCGCCAGAGATGCACATAAAGAGGGCATTTTCCCATCCCATGAGTCTCTTCAACCGTCGAATCCACTTTTCTTACCCGTCTCTTTCTAACAAGAAATTGATGGAAAGAGAAACAGACAAACATTAGGCCTCAGGCACGCAAACTTATCAGACGAAACGCGGAATTGCTTCCACTTCACGCCAGCCTTCTGCGTGGTCGTGAGCGAGCCAGCCCATACCTGCGAAGATATTGAAGCTAGCCCCCTTATCACTGTAAAATACGTAGTTGATACCTAGCATTTAACATTTGGAATTTCACAACGTCAGTATTGTCATCTTCATTTTCTCTAATCAAAGTCCTGTATTTCCTTGTTTCTAGAAGAATCGAGAAAGTTATTTATAAGTCGTAAATATTTCTGTTTGTCTTTGCTACCGTAGAGTGGATATTTTTATTTTCATTTATAGACAAATACTTTGGAAGATTTAAGTTTCTTTCTAGTGATGTTGTTGTTAATTAGACTATAAATGTTTAGTAATATTAATTGCGTGTGAATACAGGTATCGCTGTATATTGTTATTGCCTCATATATAGTTGAGGTATTGCAAAGAAACAAAACGACGCGTACGCCGCACTACACTTGCTCATTATAACTTCGTGCGGCAAAGCGAACGAGCGCTCGCGACTTATACTTAAATATCAATAAGAGAAAAAACACCTAAAGAATCAGACGAAATTGGTATGTCATTTTTAAATTCACTAAATATAACAAATTAATTATGTATAATAATCTATTAGCTGGCGAATTACTGATATTTATGTAAAGTTTTTGTCCTATATTTATGTATCATACTTATTTATTAAAGTAATTTACATTCTCGTTATATATATCAGATTCAATAACTACTATTATTATAAGCCTTTGATTTAATTAAAATATATGCAGTTATAATAATGTCCTAGTATTATAAAGATTTGTTTAGCTGAATTAAAAAAAAAGTCTATCAAATTCTGATGTTCATTAAATTTTGTAATAGTTAACTTTGCCTCCTTCTTTTGGGATGTCGGTCAAAAATTGAGATCCCTTTGGAGAAAAAAAAAATTATGTTCGTGTATTAATGTAATTTGAATTTAACGGCTATATATAACTACCGTTGTGAAAACATTATGTACTTTAAGAGTAATTAATCTAATTATTTCCGTATGCGTTAACAACGAACTTCTAGGGAAACCCTACTAATTTCCGATTTAAAAAAAATTGGTAGATTTCTTCAGCAACATTTCTCTGACTTTCAGGTCATATTTAATATTTGCGTTTCACTTTTGTTGGATTTTGGGTTAAAATGAGCATTTTGTACCACGTTCTGTTACCAATTACCTTTAGACCTAGATGTAATAAAAAAATGCTAAGATATCTGGTAACCATAATTAATGTACTTCAATATTTGAACAAAGAAGTGTTTAATAATAATATTAAATATTAAGATTCGAACCGACGACTGCTTGGGTGTAATGTCCTCATGGTTCGACTAGCGGCAATACATGTTACCCGGATTTATTATTTACTTAAGTAAACACTCACATGAAACAGTTGAATAATATAAAATTATGCATCTAACTCAAGTGACATAACATTTACGCGCGACATAAATCACATGGCCTTGTCGCTTTACACGTTGCAAAAACAAAACAAACTCCATATTTCAATTACGTCATAAGAAACTGGGTCCCTCTATGAAATACGTGAACAAGGGTCAGAGCGATGCCCCTCATGATATGTCACTGCCGTTGACACACATACGTCTAACATTGACAAACTCAAATACCAAAATGTTTGCTTTGATATTTGACGTTCCACTTACATAAGCCAATGTAATACAAAGATGTGAACGTTTTAAATTAATTGAGAAGTTAACCAGAGTTACTTACTAAAAGTGGCCACCCACAAGTCGAACTTCGAACATGATTCGTCACCAAAGATTTTTTTTAACATGAGCAGGCGTACACCTTTGACTAAAAGACCGTATAACTGTTGTGTTATTGTCGATTGTTTGCAACAAACTCAATTGTTAGTTGAACAAGTAAAAATCGATTAGTGAGCATATAAGCTCATAGAATTCTTAGCCTGACAAAACAGTTGTGCGATAGATTAGTCGAAGGTATGCGCATACGCGGTAGGAACAAACATCTTGACTGGCGATCATTCGACATTAGAAATGGAAAATTCCAGTATATAGAAGTATAATATAATAAAACCACGACAGTTGGATAAAAACATGAATAAATCAATTTAAATGTTTGCATCGAGTAATTTTAATATTTTTAACTTCTGATTCGATTGCGATTTTCGATTCTTAAAATTATTATAATTTATTATAATTAATGCTATTCTTTTGTTTGCTCTTTTGCTAAAATGACGTGACATTTAAAATTTAAATAATTTTTGTACCGCGGATTGCATTTTCGAAGATTGATAAAAATCCTTTCTTAGTGCTATCCAAAGTAGTATTCATAATAATGTTGTGTAATTTGTTTTAGTTCTGTTCCCCTGATATAAAACTAAACATTTTTATGTGATTTTAGACCGCGATTGTCTAGGGTATATTTGTTATTTGACTGTTACGAATTTAATCCACACCTTACCAGTTATGAAGTAACCTGTCCTGTCTGTTAATAGTATGGTCTGCTTATGAATTATCGCCCACAGTCATAGATTCACATGTGCTTACAAGAAGACATTGTCGTCCTACTTTTTACTTGTACAATGTCGTAATAGATACCTTCTCATGGCTGTGATGCATAACACCAAATTATGCCTTTGTGTAGATAATGACCTCCTGACGATTGTTTAATTTTCTGGAACCTGGGTAATATAACTAGAAAGCATAACATTGCAACATAAAGTAACATATTATTATATGTATTACACTATTTTGTATACTATTTTGTTAGACTGGTTTTCAAAGCGGCGTGTTTAATAAAAATCGTTTTTTTGCTATCAGTACTTAAAAATGCGTATAGAATATTTATTAACAAAAAAAGAGTATTGGGTGATAAGGAATTTTCGGTGTGATGGTTTTATTTTATCAATTTACATTTAGACAAAGATCTCCGGTCGCAGAACACATTCATCATCTTGTCGAAATCTCAGTTGTATTACAAAATTACCCTTTGAGTAATGTTGGTTGTCAATGTTACGGTAATATATCCGCGTATAAATAGTTTCTGTTCAAAGTAATAAGTAATGGTACGCATAATATGCGTCTTACAGAAACTGACCTTTCTTAAGTTAAGGAGACTTATAAGATTTTGTCAGTCTTTGTATCTTTTCGGTCTACCATAGCTGTTGCAAGTTCGTAACGTAGATTTAAAAACAAATTGTTCATATTATTCTCGTATACATAAACTACATTCCACTTAAAATACCTTAAAATCGTATATAATAAAAAAAGGTAGTGTTTAAAAAGTTTTTTTTTTGAATTCACGCAAATATAATACATTATGGACATGAAACATGTCAATCTTGATTGTTATTTTGCTCTAAAGTGTCATGTTATACCTTTGTGTCTGTCATATTTACTTGAATATCTAGTTAGAGACTAGTTGCTAACTATTCCATAGCCTTTAGGTATTAAGGACATTTGTAAGTGACATCTGTATTCAATTATTATTAACGTAATCAATTTACTATCACCAGTATTAACTTCAAGGGTGATTAATAATCGACATAAAACAAACTGAAAGACAACTCTGGAACAAACTTTATCAAACGAGTTTTTAATATATACATTTAATATAATGTCAATGATGCTGGTCACTTTTAAATTCAATTTTAAAAGTAAATGTTAATAAGATTAACTTCGTTATATTTTTATTAATAAAAAAATAATAAACCTAAGTTCAATTTCTTCGATTAGAAATAGGTATGACGCTATAATGCATTTTAAATATTCATTTCGCATATCACGCGATACGATGTCGCCCGTCCAAAGTAACTAATATACATCTTTGAAATATGCACAACGTCGAGAACAATAGGGATGGTAAAGGTTTTGAAAAATATTATTTTAGCGTAACGGCTAATAGCCTAATGGTATGGGGTACGGACTACCTGCGGTCGAGGGTCCAATCCCGCCATTCGCCTATTGTCTTGAACTACATTCTATCACAGGCCTAGAGCTTAGTTGGAGTGGTTAAATGAAATATCAGTAAACTAGCTTTCGCCCGCGACTTCGTTCGCGTGGAATTATAAAGAAACTTGAGCAAGTAGCCTATGTGTTCTTCCAGACTATCCTCTACAACTATGACTAATTTCATCGAGATCCGTCCAGCCGTTTAGGCTACAAACTTTAACAAACATCAATCCATCCATCTAAATCTAAATAATCTAAACTTCCGCATCTATAATTTTAGATTAACAAAAAACTACTAATATTTTACTACTACTAAAAAAAATCTACTACTATCTACTAATAAATAGAAATATGTAACCATAGAACTTCCGATCCATTCAGTCGTTCTGGAGTGTACATAGCAAATATCCATTTGTAAAAAAATTACATTCATAAGTAAATTTTAGACATGAATACAAACACTTCTTTAATTTTTATTGAACCACAATGACACGGATTTTTTCGTCTCTTTCGTAGTAAAAGGTGCTAATTTTCCCGATTACGAGAGAGAGAGAGTTTTATGTAAACTTGAAACTTGAAATTAATTAAGCAAGATTATTTAATTCTTAAACGTTAATTAAATATGAGAAGATTTTTTTATTTCCACGATTTTTGTACAAAGAATTAACAAATATTATTTTTTGAACTTGATATAAAATTGTCAGTTCATTGTTTGCCAAATTAATTAATATAGTTATGTCCAAACTTTACAACTTTTAACGCATAATTGACTTTGTTTTTTTACTTATCAAACAATTTTTAATTCACGGTAAATTATAACTAATATTCTACATCCAGCATTAAAATATTCTTCCATAATCTAGTCTTGATAATGACCTCGCATAGTTATTTCAAACTGGTACACCTTCATTATGCAGTTATGTATTATAACATTCAAACTTAATGACGGGTCGGAACCAAGATAGTTCAAAAAGTAAAGACCTCTATAAGTGTACAAGCTACTAGCTGTGCTGTATTTATTTGACAGAATTTCTGATTCAACTTAAAGTTTTCATAGAACTATACGTATTTGTAACATACACGTAATACTTTTATAGCGTCTCAAATAAATATGTATGTGGAGATAAAATTCATATGAAATGAATAATTAATAAATAAAAGCTTTTAAAAAAATTTATTAACATAGAAACTTACACGTTTAAACTGCCGTAAGGAAAAGGGTAAAATAGAGTTATACAAACTGACGAATCGGTTGAAAATATAGATAAGGAGGTAATATATGAGTACATTTATAGTAAAATGGTATATCTATCTCTCAGAAAACCGGTGAACCCTTTTTATTATTCATGATATTATTAAAGATAAAATAAAAGAATGCCAAATTAAAATAAGGAATTTAAAAGGGTTCCCATGACTCAAATCTTGCTACCAAAAGTATACCAGATTTACTTCCGTAAAAATTCAAATGCACAAATGAAGGACTTTACCATTGGCTAACAATTACCGTTACCATTGCAATCTTGCTCTTTGCTATTGGTTTGTAGTTTTGGCACCTTTCCCGCTTAAATTTACAATTTATACGCCCCTTGTATTAAATAGCGTGAAAATTTATTGCCGAATAGACAGTCGTAGGAGTAGAGCTTTTGATTAAAAAAGAATCAAGTAAATATTGCTTTTGTTGGAACGAAACAACGAAACAATCGACAGTCGTACGACAGTTGAGCGAGAATTTTTAATTTTAAGTTACCTAAAAACAATAGAAACATTGTCAATGTCACTTTGTTCATAAATGTACGTAGATAACCTTCAAAAAGTCCGTCGGAAGTCTATAAGTTGATATAATCTAATGTGTCCGACTATATCTAGGAAACCACTTCCTAAGATTAGTAATAAACATAACTTGTAGACAGGTTTATTCTGAGATTTTCCTTGTTACAACTTATTTTTCATTGTGTTATTATCATAAAAAGTTATTGCTGTTTTTATGCTATTTTATTGAATATCTATAAACTTATAACGTAATTTCTTACAGACTTTATTTATAATACATGGATTGTATGTTATTGTTTGAATCTTATGAAGAATTAAATCTATTTCTCGTAATTATTAAAAAAAAATGAAGTAAAAATTTTGTAGTTTTTAAAATAGGGATGTAACAGTTCTGTCCCAACCCTAACAGAGTAATCAATCTCTTAAATAATTAACGAACCTAGATAACTACGTCAGTGGCATTTTCATTCGTATCGTGAGCATAAGCCAGTTCATTCGTCATAAAAGTATCAAGACAATGTTCAATATACAACGTTTGTGTATCATGCTTTTCGTTGTTTTAATAATAATAAGAGTAATATTATTATCTAATGATATGAACTGTAATGATATATTTGCGCCCCAAAAAAACATATCTAACAAAGAACCGCACTCTACAAACACCTCTGAAGTAACTAAATGTATAGAAAAATTTAACAACAATAATTTAAGGAAATCCGACGCCGCTAACATTTGGCAATCCCTAATCACATTATATGAAGGCATATCAAATATACCAGATGAGATACTTTCAGTACTTCGCTGGGTGATACCAGGTATAAATAGTTCCGATTATGAAAATTTAACTTTTAACGATTTCGAAATGATACAAAACTTCGGCAAGGATTACAATCTGACAGATGATCAATTGTCAGCAATCGCGGATCGGGTACGTAAGGATTTCGAATCTAAAAAGGTAGAAGATTACACGGTTTACGATCTTAAAGCACTCAGAAATATATTATGCGGTTTTAATGCAAGTGAAATTAGGAGAATCCGTCCTTCGGAGTACAAAGAAGCGTCAGACGTTATAGGACAACTTGAATGCAAATCAGATGTAATGACAGAATTCGCTTTATTATCTATACACGAAGAAGCATTCGGACCTGCGGAAAATTGGGACAACGACATAAAAGATGCTGTTGGAAAAGTTGGGAAACATTTACCCCGGAATAAATAAATCATAAGCAAAGACAGCCAAGAGTTAATCAATGTTGATTTATTGGTAGCTCTTTTTAAACTTTATGTATTATATAATAATAAAGAATTAACAAATAAAGTGTGACCTGTTCTATTACTCTAAACCTTGGCCGTATATTATTAAACTCATCAATGAAACTGGTTTGATTACATAAGTTTTTAGTAACATCATTGTTCTGGTCATAAGGTATTTTTAGTTGTTCCTAACGATCGCCAATTGACCGAAATTTAACCATAATTAGAAAACAAAGATATTTTCTTACAATTAGCGTTATAGCTAAGCCTTATAGGGTATGCAATCCTAAAGCTAATTGTTTTTTTCGTGGATCTCATTGGATATTGTTGTTATCACCACGGATTTTTGCCCGCGACTTCATCCGTGCGGAAAAAACTTAGGTAGCCTACGTGTTTAAAGGAAGCGACGGTCAATCATAATTTAAAAGCACTTCAAAGCGAAAACGATGCAACAAAACGTAGGAAAGGATAAAAGGTGTTGTTAGTAACATAGACCTAAGAGTTTCTAGAATTGACGTTTTGATGATCGTATTAACAAAGATCCATCAAAACTTTCTCATTTATTCATTATTCGTTCTTTCCGTTAGGTAAATAAATTTGATACTACGTTTACATTGGTTTATCTTTTTTTTAAACTTGTCAACAGTATGATGATACATGCCATAATGAATATTCTAATGAGTTGCTGTCCATTCTTGCAAATCTTTCGAGATCTCATGATTTGTAAGATGCAACAATTTTGGTTGGAAAACATTCACCATTGTGTTAATGTCACATTAATCTTGTAGTAAATGGCGCGACACCTCGGTATGGCGCGATCTCGGTAAGATTGCATTTCCTATGCATACGAATTTAGAATTAATGAACATTTAAATGCGAATTACAACACAATTCGAAAGGAAGGTCAGTAAAAAAACTTATGTTTAGTTAATTTTTTCCCATGTAAATAGCAAATGTTACTCAATATTTGCTAAAAGTTCAAATTTAAAATGAAATTGATTAATAATTCTTGTTAACCTTCCTCAATTCGTATGTTGCGGTTTTTGTATGAAAAATGCATCTAAAATATCCTATATTAATGCATGTTGAAATACTGATGCATTGATTCGAATAAAAAGGAAGCCACGGTCAAAATCATAATTCAAAAGGAGGTCAAATCGACGCAGATGCAATAAAACCTAGGTTAGGGTGTAGGGTGTCATGAATGTTAAAAACATAGAGCTAAAAATTTCTAGAATTGACATTATGAACAGGATGTGTAATTTCCGTCAAAAACCCACTTTGCGTTTATTGATTTTTAATATTAAATAGGTAGTAATATCAAGGATAATGCATAGCTTTATGCTAACGTTAGAAAATTATATTTTTACATATGTATACAAAATCCGTGAGAATAAATTCATTTCACAAATGCCGTAATGTTATCTGCGACTTCCTTTCTTTTATAAACGTTTTCAAATATCCACTTTATCAAAACATTTATTTAACAATTACCCTTCGGTTATGTATCAAAACATCTTAACTGTATAGAGGACTAAAATAATAATTTAAGTCTTTCGTGAACGTAAAACAACCCACCTAAATTTCATCATAATTTGATACATGGATGTATTAACGCTCTATTAAAAAGAGAAACATACGAATTAAACAAACGCTGGCGGATAAACACTTTCAATGACATTGGGGCTTTCGCGTATTAAAGTTAAGTGCATAAGTATGGTCTGTGGTATTGGACGTGTTATTTGTCCTTATTGTATAAGAATATTCAAATGTCTTGCCGGCCCAAGGTCATTGTCGCGCTGCAGAAAACTGAGTTCTACGGAGCGACTTATACGATGTTCGAGCCGCCAAGATGTTGAAAACTTTTGTTTTTTGTTTACAGTAAAATGCAGTCGGCAAGTGTGTTGCTTACTGTGGGTACAACGTGGGGTACTGGCAATGAGAAACGTGAGGAAGATCTTATGAGCCATACACCCGGCAAACATATGGCGGTCGCGGCCCGAGAGCTACGAGAAACACCATCGACCAGAGAACAGGCCCTCAAGATCATGAGGGAATGGATACAGAAGAACCATGATATAAGAAACGTGAGACAAGGTACACTATATTTTTTTTTGATACTATAAGGTGGCAAATGAATGAGTGGCCACGCCGAGAAAGCGAAGCGATCGCTGCCCATAATACACATCCGCAATTGCAGATCCGTTGCCTACTCTTAATCAACGGAGAAGGAGACGCACATAAAGAGGATATTTCCCCTTCCTATGCATCTCCTCCACCGTCAAATCCACTTTCCGTTCCCATCTTTTCCGTATGAGAAAATGATGGGAAGGGAGAGGCACTAATATTAGGCCTCCAGTACCTTACTTATCAGACGAAACGCGGAATTGCTTTCACTTCACGCCTATCTGCGTGGTCGTGGTATTTCACCGGTCGATACGGCGCATTCGTGCGATAATGTTAAAGCGGGCTCTACCACTTTTAAACAACGTTATCTTGGCTTTCATTACGGGAACTAGAATACGTTCGCCTATACACTTACAACGCCAGTTTATGCTTAAATCCACAACAGAATGCCATGTAATACCACGACCATACAGAAGAAGGTGTGAAGTGGAAGCAATTCCGTGTTTTGTCTGATGAGTGTGGTGCCGGAGGCCTAATTTAAGTACCTTTCTCTTTACTACCGTTTTCTTATAAGGAGAGGATGGGAACGGCAAGTGGATTTGACGGAGGAGGAGATGCATAGGAAGGGGAAATATTATCTTTAAGTGCGTCTCCTCCTCTGTCGGATAAGGGTAGGCAACGCATCTGCAATCGCGGATGTCTATGGGCAGCGGTCGCTTCGCCATTTTGGCTGATTCAGGTGGCCACTTGCTCCTTTGCCACCTTATGTTATAAAAAACAGAAAACAGAAACTGACAAAAAATAAACGCCCACCATTCTCAAATCTTGAGCTCTTCTATTACCTTCCTAGATTTACATATCTCGATTCGCAATTGTTTTTGGTTATTGCAGTAATTACTAGAACCATTAAGATGAGTTCAGACATGTCGAATGCCGTGTGTGTGTCGAATGTGCCCGAACATCTCGCCTTCGACAGACCTGGACGCTACCTTACGAATAATCATTTTCAATAATTTAAAGATTGTTTTGTTACCGGATTTAAGACCGGAAATATGTTTTTACTAAGTACTCTCTGCTTCCTATTACACTGCCTCCGGTTTGTATATATTGTGTTGCATAACATTCATTCTGATATCGTAAAGGTTAAACGAAACCAGATTGGTTCTGCGTGACTGCGATCTATTTACATTGTAATGTTTAATGTCGGCGAAAATATTACTTACCTTGTATATGTGCGCTTTCTGTCTGCTATGTGCAATTTTCAGTTCTATTTTCCTCTTTTCTCATTTCTTTTTTTCAATAAAATTTGTTACAAATCACACAAGTAAATAGAAAATACGTAATACACAAATTAAGCAGTAGATGTTACATTATTGACACATAATAATTTCCAAGCTTGTCTCATTTTTTCTCAGACATTTTTTCTAGAAGTGGGTCACCGCGGTTTTCCGCCACTGTACATGCACGCGTTTTAAGTTTTTCAATGCAACAAGTTAACTTTCTAAATGCGTGTAATCATCATTATCTAGGATGTAACAATCGCTATTAAGAATACTTTATCTATACATATAATAAAATTGGAGTGTTTGTTTGTAATAATAAATGAAAAATTGCAGATTTCGGAAAGATGAAGTATTTGTGTTGCTGATATCGAAAATCGCATTTAAATATTCTTTGCCTGTCTGTCCGCAAGCCGCGTTTGTTCCGGGTAATCGCCGAAACGGCTGGGCCGATTTCGACCTGACTTTCACTGAAGGGTAGCTGACATAGACGGGCATATTACAGGCTACTTTTTTTTATCTTACTATTGCGTGGACGAAGTCGCGGGCAACAGTTAGTATTGTTATGAAAAAATTAATGTCTGATTTATTTTCATTACAGATGACAACTTTTTATTACGGTTCCTTCGGCATAAGAAATACAGTATACCAATGGCCCAGCAGACATTGTTGAAATATCTGAGCTTAAGGAAATATTACCCGGAGTGTTTCACTAACCTCGATCACGACGAGGCTAGAGTTGCTGAAATATTGGACAGCGGGTGAGTTCCTCATAATATAGAATCTTATTAGTTACTAGTATTATAAATGCAAAAGTTTGGATGGATGGATGGAGTTTGTATGGATCTATGAAATTTGGTGATGTAGGGAATAGTCTGGAAGGGCACAGAGGCTACGTACTTTTGTTTTTGTTAATTCCACTCGGACTAAGTCGCAAGCGAAAGTAATAGGTAATGCTAGATTAGCTGTTGTCCGTGATTTTATCCTTAAAAAACTAAGTATTTAATTAATTCGTTGCTTATTAAATATGAAATGCTTATTCAAAGTGAAAACATATCTATCTAATGGGAACTGTATAAAAACATAACATGTGATCTTGGTCGTATCGTAAACATCTGGGCCTTTCATCCGAATAGTATAGGTTGCTCTACTCTCAACAAAAATATGCGTTAATAAAAAAAAATCGTTAGGTCATCCACCAAGACGGTCGAACCAGGCATGACACACTCGCGTCAGCCTCCTTAGCTAGTTTGTTTTACAATTTAATATTCAAAATTATTATTTTCAGGTACATAGTGGTGTCACCGGTACGTGACAACATGGGACGACGAGTCATCGTTTATAACATGAGTATGAATACCTTTTTTTATTATACTTGAAGCGAAGCTGTGCATTTCTAAAGTATTATATAAATTACGTATGCGATTGTTTTTCTGTGATGCTCTGCAATTTTTTTGCTTTGCCATAATTGTAAAATTTTGTTGGTGTTTTACTTTGTTTTACTTAGTCAACCACGCTGGCCAAGTGCGGGTTGGTTGACTTCACACATATCTTTGAATTTCTTCGCCGATAAGTGCAGATTGCATCACGATGTTTTCCTTCACCGTAAGAACGTCGGGTAAATTAAGTACATATGAAAATTCGAAAAATCGAAAATCACATTGGTACATGGCGGGATTCGAACCCAAGACCTATAGATTACAAGTCAAGTAATCAAACCACTGAGCTACCGACGCCCTATAAAATTTACTCATTGTAAAAAAAAATTGCAATCTACGTGTCACTTTGAACCGAGTAAGCAATTATGGTTAATCAACCCACGTATCTCCATAAAATCTTAACATATTTGAAGTAGCGAATCTTGAAGCGAATTAATGTTCACGTCATTAAAATAAACAATTCTTTTTACTAGGTCATTTCAATGCTAACAAATTCACTTGCTGGGATATGTGTCGGGTACATATCGTGGTGTATGAGAGCCTGTTGGACGACCCAGTAGACCAGATAATGGGTTTCACACACGTCGGTGAAGGTACAGGATTGACCGCCGCCCACATCACCGCCTGGAACCCAACTGATTTCGCTAGAATATTAAAGTGGGGAGAGGTAAATTGTTTTATTCTTTCATATTCTATGAAATTAAGAAAAAAACAATTGTGTTTTACATTGTAATCAGCAAACGTGAGGTGCTCGAAGCCTAATAACACACACTTTTGTCTTTTTCCAGCAATCACTTCCAATTCGACACAAGGAGTTTCATCTCGTTAATATACCGTCCGGAATTAAGTATATCGTCGATTTTGCTATGAGCAAAGTCTCATCGAAAATGACCCAAAGACTTAATGTAAGATATAAAAATAGTAACCTCCAAAATAATATGACACCTGATATAAGGAGAAGGGGCTTTTTGTATTTCGCTAGAATTCGAGGCGGTCTAACTGTGAATTATTTTGAAGTATTTTTTAATTTTCTAGATTCACACAAATCTCAAACAACTGCATAAGAGTATGAATGTTGCATGTTTACCGACGATATATGGAGGACCGTTGCAACTTCAAGACATGATCTCTCACACAAGACAGTTGCTCTCAGACCAGAAGAAGAAACTCCTAGCTTTAGACGATATGGAGATCCTGAGCACAAGAGGAATCACATCTTCTAGAAGCAGGCCAGTTATCAAAGATGGAACCGTTTCAATAGAAGGGAGTTTCAGAAAATTGGACATAGATTAAGCTAATAAATGTGTAAATCTTAATGTATTTATAAGTATAAGATTTAATTTAAGGAAATAGTAACATTTTGAGCTTACAAAATGTTAAAAAACGAGTAATTCCAAAATGTTTGATAGTTATCATGACAATTGTTTCTGTTCGTTGGGTAAATAATAATAATTTGTTAATAATTGACTACTGGGAGTAAATAAAAATGTAGACTAAAAATAGTTTTTTTTTTAATAAAATCACAATGTTCTTCAAATGCATTTTAGCGGGAAACTTTCAAGACATTCGCGGCGCCGCTTGTACCAGCCGTCGAAGCAGCTCCACCCCTAGTTGTGCCAGTTCCCAGTCCTTTTAAACAGTTGAAGGATTTACCTAACCCAGTCACCTCAGAGCCATATAAACTAAGGAGGTGCTGCCACATGGGACTGTGCATGCTCAAGTTTTTTTTATTATTTTCCATTTCTAAATCATTATGTAACAGTTTGGTTGTAACCTTAGATTTGTAGGGTCTCTCAATGAATGTTCGCAAATCTAAGTAAAAAAGTCCAAGTGGAAAGTTTATAAGGTCCATAAAGGAACAAGTAAAAATAAACTGCTTAATATAGTATCGTATAATTTTATTACCATATTCTGGCTAAAACTCTAATAAGTATATGTGAAATGCCATTCATTGACTTAAGGAAATGCAGGAATATTATTATTAACATCAATTACATAACATACTGTGATATAGTTATACAAGTTTAATATGGAATCAAATCTGAAATCTATTATTTATGGTGGGTTAAGGAGGATACGCCTAGATTTCTACCACCTGCATGTCATACCTACCATCAGCCTCGAAAATCGCCACAATCAGCAAGCATGTGCGATGTCCATGAGCGGTTACTGAAGAACCAAACCCATTAGCCAAAGCACTGGGACACGCCTAGGTTCAAACTGCGAGTCTGCCATTTGCTAACTCCAGCACAAAACAACAATGACTTGCCAATTCCGACTCAAGGCAACTAATATATGCCGATTCCGAAACAACACAAGTGGACTTGCGACTGCGACATATCTACCAGCCTACTGTATCGCATAGGTAACCAGAACGCATTTGCGATGTCCATGGGTTGTTACACTGAAGAATCCAACCCATGCACCAAAGCACTTGGATACGCCTAGGTTCCTACCACGAGTCTGCCACTTGCTAACTCCAACGCGAAACAACAATAACTTACCGATTCCGACTCGAGACAACTAATACTTGCCGACTGCGGGACAACAATGAGACATATCTACCAGCCTACTGTATCGCATAGGTGACCAGCATGCATGAGCGATATCCATGGGTCGTTACACTGAAGAATCCAACCGATGCACCTAAGCACTTGGACACGCCTAGGTACAAACTGCGAGCCTGCTACTTGCCAACTCCAACGCGAAACAACAATGAATTGTCGACTCCAACTCGAGACAGCTGATAAATGCCAATTCCGAAACAAGACAAGTGGACTTGCGACTGCGACAAATCTACCAGCCTACTGTATCGCATAGGTAACTAGCATGCATTTGCGATGTCCATGGGTTGTTACACTGAAGAATCCAACCCATGCACCAAAGCACTTGGACACGCCTAGTTTCCCACCACGAGTCTGCCACTTGCTAACTCCAACGCGAAACAACAATAACTTGCCGATTCCGACTCGAGACAACTAATACTTGCCGACTGCGGGACAACACTGAGACATATCTACCAGCCTACTGTATCGCTTAGGTGACCAGCATGCATGTGCGATGTACAAGGGTCGTTACACCGTAGAATCCAACCCATGCATCTAAGCACTTGGACACGCCTAGGTTCAAACCGCGAGCCTGCTACTTGCCAAGTCCAACACGAAACAACAATGACTTGTCGACTCCGACTCGAGATAACAAATACATGCCGATTCTGAAACAACGCAAGTGGATTTGCGACTGAGACATATCTACCAACCTACTGTATCGCATTAGGTGACCAGAACGTGCGATGCCCATGGGTTGTTACACTGAAGAATCTAGTCCATGCGCCACAGCACTTGGACACGCCTAGGTCTCAGCCGCGAGTCTGCCACTTGATTACTCCAACAGGAAACAACAATGAATTGCCGACTTTGACTCGAGACAACTAATACTTGCCGACTGCAGCACAATATTGAAAAATGTCTACCAGCCTACTGTACTGCCTAGGTATCCGCAACCAGTAAACGTGTGCAGGGTGCTTACTGTTCCTACCACACATATGGAACTTATTAACTATTGAGACAAATCTACTAATCCTCCTTACCCACAGATATCATTGACGCTTTGACATTAAAAATCGACTGTATTTACATATTAATTGATTAACATCTTCACAAACCACTCCTTATTCCCGCGTTCCGATCCATGAAAGTGAATTAAATTAACAAAATAAAATCCGATTATCAGTATTTACTGGCAAGTAAAAGAAAAATAAAACAAAAAAATAATAACAAAAAATAATATGTTTAATCTCACTAATTTTCCCTTAACTAATATTCTTTAATTATATTACGTTTATGACTTAAAATAACAAATAACATAAAATAAACATTTACAGAGATTCATAGACGATAATTCAGTCAAACAACTAACATCAATAATATTAAATTTAACAATCATCTCAGTTCATATCGGAGAGATTTTTATTCCATTGTGGCAATTTACTTAACTCTAAAAACAAATATTTTGGTAGATCTTTAGTTTTTTTACCGATTATATCGAAATCTAAATCTAAATGTTGCTGACTTATAGAATTTTCTAGAAATATCTTGGCTTGCATCATTTGAGCGGCTGATGGTGCATCACTTGTGTAATTTCCTGTAAATACAAAATATATATTCATAAGAAAACATACAATTTATATTCATTGAAATGTTAAAAAAAAAGAAATATGTACCTATAAATGCCAGCACGAAACCATTTTCAGAGTACTCGGGAAACATAAATGAACTTCGTTTCCATCCAAGAGCTTCAAAAGTTCTTCCATCGGGCGACACCAAGAAGTTATACTGAAGGCGAGCCCCATTTTTCTAAAAAAAAAAATAGTATTTTATAAATGACTAGGTGATGCTTGCAACTCATGAAAATTACATAGAAAAAACATGAAATAAGAAAAAGCAATTAAAAAACATAGCTTATATTATTCTGTGATAACATAGCTTTTTAATAGTTCAAAATTTCAATAAATACAAATCTTTCCTCTTTATAAAATTAAGTATAGATTTCCGTTTCCTAAGATTCGCTTAATTTTGAATGACCACTGTTTTTAAGAATTCATTTCTGTTTTTATATTTACACTTTTATTTCTGTATTTACCTGCATCAGGTTCAGTAGCCTAGAACAAGTTTTCGTGCTGTCGCATTCTTCTGTATCCGTCTGAACGATGATGACCGTGTTCTTCTTCATCTGTTCTACATCTGCCAGCTCAATTTCCCCATTCTTATCCCATTGAAGACGGCTTACATAACGCTCCGGTTCTTCAATTGGTGGTAACACATTCTCTGAAAATTTACAATATTATCAATATAAAGGGGAGTAAATACATTACACTATTTATTATAAAAAGAATTTTTAACAATAAAACCATGACAATCGCCATTAGTATTCAAGCGCAAACCGAGCAAGGAAAATTATTCTCTATGTAACATTAGCATCAGTGTTTATTACCACAATGCAGAACTATATTAACTTTATCTGTAGAAAACACTGTACTAAACCAACATATGGTAAGTTCTTATTGGTTAGAAACTAAAATACACAGGAAATGGATATTGCGGTAATACTATTTAAGATAAAACGCAAGCATGTGTCATAAATTCACCAGAATTATAAAACCACACACAAATATTATCAAATCTCACTATTTCGATCGCAAGTTAATTTATAAATTCGCCATAAATTAAAAAAAAAATCACCTGATCTGCTTTGGATGATCAGGAGATATGTGCCAATAGCAATTCCAAACAGGAGGATTAGTAGAAGAAAGCTGACAACAGCCCTGGTGCGATAGTAGTTATCGTCACGTTGATACCTCGGGAAGCGTTGGAGAAGTGGAGTCGCCTCAGTGCCTCTGTTCTCTTCCTCGGCACGGTAAGAATTGGTGCGCGATTCATGATCTGTGGACAAATTATCCTCATATTCATTTGACATGTTATTTTAAACATCTTACCTTAGATTAGAAAAGATTAGGAGCTGAGTAAATTGAATGTAGCCTTTAGTTAAAATAGAAATCAATTTTAAAACAATTGAAAATACTGCAGAATTATAATAGATATAAATTATGAGTTATTCTCTTAAAGAGACATAAATTGAAATAAATACATGATATTGTGAACAAAACAAACTATAAACAAGGAAAACAATGATAATAAGTCAATTATCTAATTACATAATTCTTGGAGTAATATTTCAACCATAGTAACTTTATGCTGGTAGATGTTAGAACACTATAATGTGCATTTACACATTGTATCAGAACTAATGATTAAAAATAACTAAAGTCATTATCAACTGTTCTGGGTTTTTTATAATACAGTTATATGCTAACAGGGAATCCATTGTAATATGAGTAATCCATTTTATTTTACATCTGGTTTTCAGAGATAACATATATTTAAAATATACAATGGGTAAGAAATATTTACTTTAACTTCAATGCTAATGATGTACAGATAACAGCAAAATTGCATCTGGAGTTCATTTTGAAAGCAGATTGTAAGGAAAAAAATAATAACAAAATGTCAATAATTGTTCACTACAAACTAGCCTTTTATGCTTAAACTCGGAATTTCCTAAACATTTATTGTGAAAAAATTATTGTCACATTAGTTATCTCACTAATTTCTTGAGATATCTTAAACGTCAAACATAATAATAGCCGCCGTGTACAGAATTATCTATTCCACTGTTTACTTAATTTTAGCTTTGTATTTCAATGAAAGGATACATAGTAAATGAAAAAAAAAGAAAAGACAATAAAAAGTAGACACTGGCTGCTCCCGATGTCAAAATTTCATTTTTTTTTATAATATAGGGTGTCAAATGAGCAAGTGGCCTTCCTATTTGACTCCTCCGGCATTAAATCCACTTTCCCTTCCCATCACTTCCTTATAAGGAGAGAAAAGCACTTTAATTAGGCCCCCCGCACCTCACACTCATCAGACCAACTCGGAATTGCTTCTACTTCATGCCTGTCTTCTGTGTGGTTTTGGTATTGCACCAGGCGAGCCGACTGATTTATGCGAAGGTGTTAAAGCAGGCTCTACCACTGTAGATCCGATACCAATACCAATGGAGATCTACTCGGAATCCGAACTAACTGGAATCTTGTAAGGTTCGGATCCTATTTAAGTCAGGGTGAAAAGATAACCATGTTGGCCCAGTGAGGGTAGTCTACACACATGTCTTTGAATTTCTTTGAAAATATGTGCAGGTTGAATCACATTTTCATTCATGTTAGAATGAACACGGATGTAGAGATTAAGGTCCGATCTGTCCAGATGCTTCACAATTGTCTACCAATGCTTTGTTTGCATTTGTCATAAGACCTTCAATTTAGCATGTAAATTTGATCAATTTGAGCAATTTTCTGGACTGCCCGGGACATCACAATCTTGACCACTGGATCGCTTTACTTTCTGAGATGACTTAGTTTTTGGCAACATTTACTTGTTAGGGATATAATATTATGAGAATAAATGTTCTTTCCAACTCATTTAGGATCCAATTTTAATGTAACAGTAGATATTGGCCAAAAACAAAGAAACAATGAACCTATTGGAAAACTACATTTTCAATACAGTACACAGTCAATAAGGAAAAATCACTTACCAACTGGAGATATTAGTGGTTGCATTGTTAGTTAGGGCACCAAACTGCACTGATGATTCTTGATAACATTACTATTCACACAAAAGATTTTTATTCCTGGGCGTGGACTGCAAATGTTGACCCGTCGAAAGTCAGGAAAGAGAGATTTAATCAATATCTATGTCAGAGTACTATAGGTATGGGATAACCGGGACAGGTATATAAGGTAGGAGTAGGGGTATACAAGCGAAAAATCAATACATCAGTCTCAGGGCGGGATAAACGACAGATTATAAAATGAACGACATGACAATGTTATTTTGACATATCTATTCTATGAGCAGATAAGAAAACACAGCATTTACAAAGGGTAAGTATGATACTATGTTACTTCAAATTACTATATTTTTTTGCATATTTTTCTATAATTAGCCTTTTGGACTTCTACTCATGCATATATAGTTTGTCCATGGAGGTATTAAGTACCACGTACAACAGGAGTGTGTTCTATCTGTACATCTTGCAGTTAATATGAAGGAAATAAAACCTTATGCTAAGGGAGTAAAAGTTTTGCTGCCCGCAAAATAAAATTGAACCCGAGTAAGAGGGTTACCAGTGTCCGATGTTTCCCTTTCTAACAGTGACTTAGAGTTGCCAGCTTTCGTTGTTTGTAGAAAAATAGGCAACTGATGCAATGTAATGCAGTAAAAATGTTTACTTTCAAAATATTTCTTAATATTAATAATAATTTTTTACCGACATATTACAGCAAAAGCATTTGATGTTACATGTAAAACTTTATTAAATTTGCGATTGGTGTACAGGTTTTCTTGTATTTGCTCGAAATTCGAACACCTGAACTGACAACACCGCAAGACATCCCGTATCGGACTTCAATGGCGGCGTTTTTGAAATCCGTGAATTTTTAAAATTTCGTCGTTAAAATGGTGAGAACTTGCGTCGTGTAGGCTTGCGGAAACTAGTATTATCTTGATTATGGTTTAACTTTTCATAGGTAATAGTTTTAAACATAATTTGTTAGTAAAGAATTACGGTGACCATGCATAACTATCCAATCCTAGAAATCCTGAGAATGATTGAGAGAATCATCAATCAAATTTTTAATTTTTAATTTCAAATATTTTTACAGAAAAAGTAAGAACAATCAGCATAACACTCGCTTCGGCAAGTCTCCATGACACAAATTCTTCCCATTTTAACTAAAATTCTTGAAAAATATCACAAAATTTTGGAAAGGGAATATCTTGTAGCCCCCTCACTTGGTTTCAAATTCATTTTGCGTTCAACAAGACTCTTACGCCCTTAGCATAAGGTTTTATTTTCTTTAACTTAACTTCAAGATGTCCAGATAGAACACACCTCTGATGAACGTAGTACTTATTACCTCCATGCGTGCATCTCAGCTATGATGAGTATAAAAAAAATGCCAAATAATTACATTTCAAAGATTTTATGCGAACAAACTCAGGGCATTTACTTGTATGCAAATGTAAACAAGTAGTACCTTATAAATGTTGAAATAGTTTGAAAAGTATATTAAGCTGATTGAAGGTTAGTAAGGAGGGGCCATACCCAAAAGTTATTATACAAACGTTTGTAATGAAAACTTGGGCCAGACCTTCTGATTGCGACCTACCTCTATGTAATTAATGTTGCGAAAGGATTTTTAAGTCCCCGACTTTATATGGTTTCTCCGTCATCTGTTTGGGAATTCGTACAAAAACATTTAAGAAGTTTAGTAACGTTCCTGAAAATGTTTATGATATAAAGAATCATGTAACCATTTTGTATATAATGCCTAATAAAAGGAATAAAATATGTATCCTTTAATTTGTTTTAACCTATTGTGGCAACCCTACCGAAAAAGGTAAAAAAATTGACGTTTGTAAGAAGTTCATTTTTTAGTGGAAGAGTCCGCCTTAACATCTTCGCGCCAATGGGCCGGCTCGCCCCAAGCAATACCACAACCACACAGAATACAAGCGTGAAGTGGAAGCAATTCGGCGTTTCGTCTGATGAGTGTGGTGCCGGAGGCCTAATTTTAGTCCCTTTCCTTTTCCAACCTTTTCTTAAGAGGAAAGGATGGGAAGGTAGAATGGATTTGACGGTGGAGGAGATGCATTGAAAGTTGAAATGTCCTCATTATGTGCGTCTCCTCCTCCGTATATGAAGGGTAGGCAACGCATCTGCAATTGCGGATGTTTATGGGCAACGGTCACTTTTCATTTCCGTGGATTCAA